AATCTATTAGGCAATAAAGAAGATAGTTTCTAATTAAAATCTCTTATCCTTATTAATAGATTCTTAGTATCTATAAGCTCCCTAGTTAATACTAGAGTAAATGTATACGCGTGTATGACCACTTCCTTAGCTATCTAGATATCTTAATATTTTAGAATACCTACTGTGCCCCTAGAAAGGGAGTATGTAGTTATAGGGTTTAATAAAAGGCAGTCTATTCCCCTCACCCATATTATTATATTAACTATGGCCACAGATAATTATATTATAAGATAGATGCTATTTCTTATACTAGACCTGGGATACCATAATATTATACTAGGAAGGATGTGGCTTGTGGAATACTGCATACTAGTGGATTATATAGGGAAATAATTAATCTGGTCTTCACCACCCACCTACTAAGATGAGATAGCTATATAGATGAACTAGGAGGTCCCTTACAACTTCCTAATTAGGTAACCCATTAACTAAGATTACTAATATGACATGGTGTGCCGCGCTAGGTGATAGGTAAGGTATAAAAGGGATATCTTCCCTCCCTTAGCTCTATCTTCTCTTCTCTCCTTAACCACCCCTAGCCCTGTGGTTCTTCCTAGGGCAGTAACCAAGCCTTTAAATATATATAGCTTAATAGGAGAACCATAGGGCTATAGCATAAGGTTATAGTGCCCCTTTTCCAGAATAATCTAAGGGTCCCTAGATACCTCTAAACACTTATATATTTAGTCCCTAGTGCTTCCTTCCATAGCTTCTAAGGAGGCACCTAAGCCCTATTCCCCTAAGGAGCCTGACCTAGTAATGCTGATAACCACTACTTCACCTTTCTATAAGACTAGATAATACTAACCTATAAGAATGGAGGAAATTAATCAGTAGTATTACACCCTTAAGATAGAACAAGCCCTATAAGGAAGAGGCATAGAACTAATATCATAACCTACCCACCCACTGAGTAAGACTATTATTAATATTACTATAATAGGTGTAGTAGCCTTCTACTAATATATATATAAGAAAGATACTATCATCTTCTTATCTTCCCTCCATAAGCTTAATAAACTAATTAATAAGAAATAGGGTAAATAACCCCTTTCCCTCCCTCAGCAGCTGACCATTGCAGCTTAGTCTTTAATATCTTAGTTAACTAACTATAGTCCAGCAATTGCTGAAGATGAGATTAAGTAAGTCCTACCAGAACCTTATTAGGACCTAGTTAATATTTTCTCTAAATATAATTCTAATACTTTACCTCCCCACCATGGGGAATTTAACTATAAAGTTAAACTAGAATAGGAGAATGCAGTCAGCTATAGGCCCCTATATAAGATGAATATAGAAGAATTAGAAGTAGCAAGGGAATATATACTAGACAACCTCTATAAGGGATTTATTATACCTAGTAACACTCCCTTTGCTTCTCCCATTCTTATAGTAGAAAAGCTAGGTAGAGGACTATATTTCTATATTAACTACCATAAACTAAATACCATAATATATAAGGACTATTACCCTCTCCCCTTAATTAATAAGATTTTAGAGCATATCTCCAAAGTAAAGATCTTCACTAAGCTAGATATCTACTAGGGTTTTCATTAGATTCACATGGACCCAGCCTTAGAGGACCTCACCACATTCTACTCATAATATAGCAGCTTTAAATATAAGGTAATGCCCTTTGGACTCACTAATAGACTAGCCATATTCTAGCACTTTATGAACAGTATTTTCATGGATTGCCTAGATTAATATCTGACTGCATTCATTAATGACCTACTAATCTATTCTAATAATAAGTTAGACCACTAGCTCCACATCCATGCTATTCTATAGTGCTTACAGGAGCACAGTCTATAAGTCTTAATAAAGAAATGCAAATTCTATATAATAAAGATATAGTATCTTAGCTTTATTATCTTAATAGACAGCATCCAGGTTAACCTAGAAAAGGTTATTATAGTATAGAAGTAGAAGACTCCCACCACTATAAGGGGGATCCAGTCATTTCTAGGTTTCTATAACTTCTATTAGAGGTTCATATAGGAGTATAGTTGCATTACTAAACCCCTAGTTATATTAACAAGGAAGGATGTTCCCTTTATATAGAATAATAACTATAAGAAGATGTTCCACTATTTAAAGGTTACCCTTATAGAAGCTCTACTTCTCACCTATTATAACCCATCCTTGCCTATAAAGCTGGAGATAGATGCCTCTAACAGTATAGTCACTAGCATACTCTCTTAGTAGTGGGGGGAAGAGTGGCATCCTATTACCTACTATTCTAAAACTATAAATCTAGTAGAGTGTAACTATGGCATCTATAACTAAGAATTATTAGCTATTATATATGCTTTAGAAGAATGGTAAGCTAAGCTACAGGGCCTATAAAGAGCTAAACTATTTAAGATATTTATAGACCACTAAGCATTATAATATTTTATATAGAAATAGTAACTAAACCCCTAATAGGCCTGATGGAATGAGTTCCTATCTAGCTTCTACTTCCTTATTACTTTCTAGCTAGGGAAGCTTAATATACTAGCTAATATACTCTCTAGGCCGCAAGACCTGGAAGGGACTAATAATTACTAAATTTAGTTAATATTTAAGCTAGACCACCTTAACCCCTAAATCTTAGCAGCTGTTACCCCCAGCCTGATATTAATAGTGGATTGGGTATCTAAAGTAAATTAACTATATAACAGCCTCTAGCCTGAGTAAGAGCTTGCATAGGCAGGTAGTGACTAATGAGAACTCTAAGATAGACTTCTACTCTTCTAAGGACACCTAGTGGTGCCTAATGAAGGTAACCTACATACTTACCTACTAGATGAAATCCACTGCCCACTGTCTTCCACACACCTAGGCAAGGCTAAGATAAAGAGACTTGTCTATACTTGCTACTATTAGACTTCCTAGAGATGGGATGTGGACTACTATATAGATAATTACCTTATCTACTATTAAATAAAGATGTGTAGAGACCCTTTACTAGGTCTACTATAGCCCCTTCTAATCCCTAACTAACCTTAGTAATACATTACTATAGATTTCCATTTATTCCCATGCTCTAAGACAGGTTTTAACACTGTGTTTATCATGGTGGACTAACTAGGGAAGAGAGCCTTTACTATCCCCTATTATAAGATAACTATTACTCATAATATAGCATATCTCTTTATTACTTATATTTACCCATGGACTGGCTTACCAGAAATGATTATCTTAGATAGGGGAGGTCAGTTCATCTTAGATTTCTGGGATGAACTGTGTAAGGTCTTATAGATCCACCTTAAGCTATTATTAGGATATCATCCACAGACTAATAGTTAAATAGAAGTTATAAACCAGTGGATTACACAGTAATTATAACTATTTATTAATTATTACTAGGATAACTAGGACTAGTAGCTATCTATACTAAATTTCACCACTATAGCACTTCTAAGCAAATCTACTAGGATATCATCCTTCTTTATTAAGAGAGGCTTTAAACCATATATATCCTTTAACTAGTCAGCAGCTACCAGGCCATCAGACCTTAATATTAATTACAAGCAAGCGCAGCAGATGGCTAGACACATAGAGGAGATCTGGTTATATGCTTATAGAGGTATAGAAGCTATTTAATATTAATAGAAGTAATAGGCTAATAAGCATCACCATACTATTAACTTTAATATTAATAATTATGTCTTCATTACCACATCAGATTAGAAGCTTAACTATCCTAGTTAGAAGCTCACTGACCAGCTTGCTGGACCATACTAAATTATGAAGTAAGAGGGGAATGCCTTCTAACTAGATCTCCTAGATTCTATAAAAGTCCACCCTATCTTCGCGCCTAAGAAGCTTTATAAAGCCCTATCTATACCTCCTCTACCTAGCTAGCTCCAGGACCTGGCTCCCCTGCTAGAAGTTAACAGCAAAGATAAATAGAAGGTTAATAAGATACTAGCATCCTAACTCCACTATCACAAGCTCCAGTACTAGGTAAGATGGCTTGGTTATAACATTAATCTTGCCTAGTATCTAGCCCAAAATTTTAGGAACTCCCTAACATTGCTTTATAACTTCCACACCTGATATCTAGCCATGCCAGGCCCACTAATGCGCCTACCAGAATGGCTACAAGCAGCTGAAGACAATGTATTCCTTAATAATCACCCTAATGATAATAAACCCCAGATAAGGGCATCCAGAACCTAAAGAGAGGGGTAATATAATAATCCATCACCATATTCCCCACAGACCTCCTTACACAGAGCTTTCTACTTATCTTGACTGCTTACCTCTCCAGGGCTGTTTGGATTGTTTGCACTGTTCCACCCTCTGTTTATATATCTCCCCACTATGTACATACTTCTTCCCCCTCTTCTCTATGCTTAGTTTTCTATCAAAATACTACCATACCATTGGAATATGAGCAGTGCCATCATACCTGGCTCTCCATAACCTTAACCTACTAAGAGTTTTGCAGAAAAGAATCCATTTTAATAAAGCTTCTACTAATTTAGTCACTAAAAACCCTTTTCCCCTAAAGAGTAAAAGTAGGCTTGAATGCCCAGTATGCCTTGGTGGCCCTGGCCATCCTAGGGCAAAAGCATATACATATGCTTGCAAAGATACGCTGCAGAGACACTTTGCAACCCACAAGCTGGCAAAACTTTCCAGAGGGCCGGAAATGCGACTACCCTAGTTGTGACACAGTTTTGTATTCACTTCCCAAGTACAAGCTTCACCAGAATAAAGTGCATAATATCACCCTTTGATGTATAGATATTTTATTGGATTTGTTGTCTGAGCTCTTTAGCGTAGTCAAGATTCTAAATAAGCTTAGAAGAACCGCTCTGAAAGCATGATTCTCAAAGTGCTAGTTGGAAATGCTCCTAATAAGTTGGCTCTAGTGCATTGCTATCCAGTGCTACTTTGTGCCTTGTCTGTTTACATTCCTAACTAATTTCTTTAACTTTACCGATTGGGTGGCTGTGTCCTTTCCGATCTGTTTTGATTGACTAGGGAGAAAGACTATTAAACAGGGAAAATCAGATTCAAAATTAATCAAGTCCACCAAATGATAGATTTAGAACAGAAGCATTGTGGGAAGTGAAGGGGCTTGCTGGTAATCTATAACAGCATAACCATAGCAAGTAAAGTAAACAAGCTTACACCAAGGGGAGCAACTGTTGACCAATCTCCTTCTGATGTGAGATTAGACATGGAGGTTGAACGTCTAACCGATGCTGGATCAGTAGTCCCAGTGCAGCTAACCATTTGGGTTACAGTTATCACTGTTACTGGACTCACCATCAAAGAAATGTGGGTAGAGCTCAGGGCAATTATATTGCCAGAAACATTGTCAGGAATCCGGCTAAATAATGAAGAGGAAGAAGCAACAGAAGAGGAAGCAGAAGAGGAAGCAGAAGAGGAAGCAGAAGAGGAAGCAGAAGAGGAAGCAGGAGTAGCAGCGGAAGTGGCGGCAGGGCTGGAAACACTAAGAAATGGACTTGCAGAGCTTGCAATAAGCCCCAGAACAGGCCCAGACAAGATGCTAGAAACTGGGTCACTGGTAGCTCTCCTTGCATTCTGAAGGAAAGTTCCCATCTTATCACCTGGGTTGAGTGCAAACACCGTTCCAGCATGACAGTGAGATGATGGTTGAGTCTGTTTGCAAAAGAACCATTGCGGATCAAGAGAGTTGACTGTCAAGGTGATAATAGGATTATTCTTGTCCTCAGGATTAAATTGTTTGAATCCTGTATCGAACTCGCCAATGGAGGAACATGGCTCCTCCAGACTTGACTGTGTCAAGGTAGATTCAGGCGGTGGAACCTAAACTCCACTTGGTCGCCGATATTTGCGTTCAATCTATTTGGCACAAACATATTATTAGAGTTAACGGAAACATGATGTACCACTCAGTCATCTATTTCGTCGAAACTAATCCGCGATATGAGAAATGAAGTCTGCTTTGCGACGGGGAGACAAACTTAACACTTTTTGATAGTGCCTGGAAGGCAAAGAGGGTAAAATAAAAGGCGTACACCAACATGTTATTATGATGCTATTGAAACAGCAATAACAAAGTTAGGATTAAATCTGAGATCAGGTTTGAATCACTAGGTCCACCCTATATACGTGTCCACCCTATATACCCAATACAAGAGAAGCCATATTTCCCTGTGGCCACGATTGAGCCTCTGCAATAGGGGCTATATAGTCGACACGCGCGCTTACATCCTCAGTTTGCAATGGCCACCATGAGGGCATGCTGAAACTGTGGCCCGGCGCTTTCAATGGGAACCTTACAATTCAGGACACTTCTCTCTCCGGAAATAGATCCTTAATCGGCCGCCATCAACGCGCAGTCGTAACCGAACCGCAAAGCCACTTCAAACTAGAGAAATGGGAGGGACAATAAGCCTAGCCTGCCTTAGTCTCCTCATTGCTTCGTCATGGGGCGCCGCCTGTGCTTGCTCTTGATGAAACATCAAGGTCACCCAACAGCTCAGATCAAAAACAGTCCCTTTCTTTATGTATCATGATTTCTATACCCTGTCAGGTGCATTTCAGCACAGCAACATTTTCTTTTATTTAGTACTTGAAATATGAAAAGAAGTAATCAATATTCAATGCAACTGCTAGCCTGCAAACCGAGGAGCTAGTACATCACACACTCAGGATGTAGCTCATCCACGAACCAGGTGATCAAGTAGATGTCTCTTGACCTGCTTAAACACCAGCTTCCAGAGCTGTATTGAAGGAAAGGATGCTTTTTTAACTCATTAGCTTGTTGTCTAGGATTCAAGCGCTAGCTCTCACACCTTTAGAAGATCCTCTGCAGTCGCGGCTGGCCATGGCTTCACAAAATCGTCTGCGAGACAACCTAATATGCCCCTTGTACCCATATCACCTTTCGGCCCTAAGAGTGCCTCAGCCATACAGCAGACTGCCCAAATATCCCAGCACTGCTGATGATGGTCGAGTTGCTGTATCATACTGTTGCCAATGCTCGCTAGCAGTGTCAGTGGGACAGAATTATACCCCAGTCGGCTCAACCTACCTATTTTAACACCACCATCTGCTGAAATGAGAATATTTCTCACAATAATGGCACCATGGTAGAGATCAAGGACGTCATGGATGTATGCCAGGCCATGTAGAACCTATCCTTTATCAGTAACTGTGCTCATAAAGGGTCGCACTTACGACTTACACCCTTACAAATGGTGGCAATCTCCACTTCTCCGAGATGGAAGACAGAGTATATATTCTCCAGCGGTATTCCCCATTCCTCATATATGAAGAAAATCATGTTATCCTCCAGGAAAACCTCCTGCAGATTGACAAGGTTCTCATGGGAAATCGTCCTCAGCGCCTCAACCTGAGCCTTGCTGCGCTCAATTTTGATCTGCTTGACAATCCGTATTTGTGACGTCCCGTGTATCTCTACCGCATCGAACTGACTGGACTTCGATATATAAACCCTCGGTCAGCCGCTTTGAACGGATTTCCCGGTTTCACGATGTTCGGATGCCCCAAATCCCCAAATCCTGCAAATGGAAAGGCTCACAAAGAGATTCAATCTTAATAGAGGACATTTTCATAAGTTGATAGATAGTTGCGCGTCGATCATTGACCTCAGAGCTGCTTCTTACCTGCGTCTGTGCCTTCACGGCAAGACAGCTGGGCCTCGTGGCCTCCGGAGAAATCTGGGTGCCGGTCGCCACCAAATACTATACCCAAGCCTTGAATCTCTTGATTCAGCAACTTCGCAGCCCTGCCCCTGAGGATGATACTCTAAATGCCGTAATTATCCTGAGCAGCTACGAGGTCCTGGCGACTCAAGGCCAAGAGTATCGCCGACACTTCGAAGGAGCTACGAAGCTTATTCAGATGTACGGTATCAGCGCGCAATCAGTCGGCATTGACCGTGCAAACTTTTGGATCTGGATTCGCCATGAGATTACGGTGTCCATCACCAACGAGATCCCCTTGCAGATGAGCCCTGGTTCTGGAACATCCATTGGCGGCAAGGGGAAACGGAAGAGGATAGCCTGGGGAATCAAGTTTTGTGGCTCGTCGGTAGAGCTCTTGACCTGGTATATGGCAAGGGAGAATTATCCGAATAATGCAGTTTGCTGCATGAGGCGGAGAATTGGTGCGCAAGCCTGTCTGAATATTTTTGAGGTATCAAGTATGCGGACCCAATTAAAGATGGACTACGCAAGATACACTTTGCTGTCCCTGCAGCTGGTGAGCTTGGAGCATTTCTTCTGATCCCTTAGTTGCCATTCTTGAGATGTTGAAACTCTCATGGATCCGTTCCGCCATGTTGGACCACGTTCTAAAGACTAGGTAGCTACAGCAATCATTTAGTATCACACTCTTCATATCCTGCTTTATACAGATCCCATCCTCCAAGATCCAGCAAATGCACTAAAAGTGAGTGCAAAACTGAGAGTGTAAGATATGGTATTCACTGTAGAGATAGATTCAAGAACATAGCACAGAGATCATTAACATCTCCATATCAGATATCCCAAATCAAGTACACTGCTTCTCGATAGTTCCTCTTTATTTGGGTAAGCACTCTCTATATCTTCATGTACTCCCTCTTTCCTTCTTTCCTTTTTTCTTTACTTAAGGGATCAATCTTGCATGAAAACCAAGGACTAATCCCCATACAGCTGGAAAGCACGTGAATAGCATTGCCAAAAAGACCAGGGTACAGGTCTTACTGGACAAGATACAAAGTGAACTAGGATATCATACTCACAGTCAAGTTAAGGCCCTCCAACGGCTTATCGCACCAATGTAGGACTCGTATCCATCCCTACTATCACATGACCAGCAATACGACGCGACCTCATGCCTACATGCCTTATGAACGGCTTATTATCTTCAGTCGACTGATTCAACACTTCCCTCTAAGAAAAGGCCATGGATATTCTGACAAGGATGGATTCTTCGTCCACCAGTGGTTTCTTGAAAGAAACTATCAAATACTTCACTTATCAGGCACTGAACTCTGCCATACTTCACATCGTTGTCCCTCTCTCTCCTGTCCCAATTCCTATGCTTTTGGCTGAGTACTAGCAAACCTTTCTTTTTTCCAGACCTTGACTGGGCATCGGATGGGCCAGAGGTTAAACCATTCCTCAAATGGCATGTCCGAGTCCCTGTTTGGTAAAGCAAAGTTATAGTGGTGCACTAGTGTCCCAATGGCATATTATTATTATTATTATTAATCAAGTTTAACATCCATATAGAGCCTTCTGGCTATGACAGACCCATCTATAGGTAGTAGCATGCTACCATTCCGTACAGTCTCCCAGGATCACCCTTCTTTCATCTAGTCGCTCTATTTCTTTTCCCTTTTCCTCGCCTGATTCGCCTTGTTTGCGCAAAGGCATTCGGGCCTAGCCCTCCTCAGTAGTCTTAGCTGTGTGGGTATCACCTAGGCACGCCCGTGAGGCTGCGCAGGCTACCCTCTTTACTACCCATCCTCCCTTCGCTCTGCTTCCTCTACCTCAATCTAAACCTCGCCCGTTATCCCTCTGAATGCGGTCCGCCTCACGCGCTTTATCTCCCCGTGCGTAGCTGAACTCAGTTATTGCGAGCATTCCTAGGAGAGCTTACATGGCTCTCTGGTTCTGAAAGAGTCGCCTCTGCGGGGCTTCCTCTCCAGTTGCTGGAGCGTTAATCCCTGCTTTGCTTGGGGCCTTATAGAAGGTCCTCCTTTGCTTGCGCCAGTGTCTGCATTCAAATAGCAGGTGCTGAACCGTCTCTTTCGGCGCCTGATACCACTGACATGCGGTTGTTTGTTATGCTTGTAATCAGTTTAGGTGCGCTCCAATGGCCGCGTGTCCTACTTTCAGTGGAAAGTAGCAACGTGCAAGCGCCTTAGGGGCAGCAGCAGCAGTCAGATCTTGCTTCCATCCCCTGGGAGCTTGATATGACCTTTACATCCCTGGGGTCCTCTCGGAGAGGGCGGTATTCAGCCACTCCGTCCTTTGTTCTCAGGCCCTATCCGTGCATGGGCGCTTCACGTGTGCCAGAGATATCTCTTGTTACGTTCCTCTCATGGGGCTTTGCAGCAGCCAGTTTTGCTGCTTGGTCTGCTTCCTCATTGCCTTCAATGCCCTTGTGGCCTGGCACCCATTAGATTGTCACCATACGACCATGACGGTTCAGTTGCCAAGCAGCCTCGTGTGCTTATTATGCTAGTGCTTGACCTGGCCCAGGACTAGTATGTCCTAGCCTAGCTATCGCTGCCTGGGAGTCTAGGAGGACCGTGACGGGTCCTTCATCTCTCAATCAGTGTGCCAATACTAGGGCCTCGACTGCCCCTAGTAGCTCTGCATCAAACACCCCTTTGCTTCGCCCTAAGGGGATCTGCTCAGTATGCCAAATACCCTCCAGAGTGTGCCACGCTATTCCTGCACCTACTCAGCCATCTTCAAGCCTGGAGCCATCTGACCATAGCACAAGCCCAGGTATACCTCTTTGAGCAGCTTTAGTCGCTTCACTAAGAGATGAAACTGTTATAGTGCCTGGGAAAGTGCTTGGATGTACTTCTATCACCTCCTCAAAACCTGCTGACGGATCAGTTCCTATCACACTTGCAAGGTTGCTGGCAAGGTGCTGTCCTAAAGTCCAAGAGCCCCGAGCGTTGTTTGGCGCAGCCCAGTTGCGGTCATCGGTTGGTTGTTCTCCCGGTTGCGCGTGGAGATCTCCTTCTCTGAAGCTGACCGGGAGGATCAGCGTCGCGGGATGATCTCTGGTAAGGCCTAGTAGCCTAGCAGCGTAGCCTCACTGTCGTTGATCTAGCATTACCTCTGCTGGTTCGAGGGCTGCTTCTAGTAGTAGTGGCCCAACCGGCGTTGACCGCATCATTCCTGTAATCACTCGTGCTTGTCGATTTACAAGTTGCTGGATGCCTGTCAGGCGCTCTTTCTGCCCTTGCCACCATATCTCTGCTCCATATAGAGCCACTGCTTGCACTGCAGCTACCTGGATTCTGCGGACGAGCCCTGGAGGTAAGCCTTGATCTTTGCATAATGCTTGCACTCTTGCCTCTGCTGTCCGAGCTTTCCTTAGGCGAGTCTGGTAGTGCGTCTTCACCCCGCTGTAGATATCTTCGCTATCTGTCGAAAACCGAAGGGCTAGCTCATCAAGTCAATACGAGAGAATTAACATCATGTATCATTTTACGCATATGAAGAGTTGTTGAGCTCAAATCCGCTCCGTGGTGGCCCGGTAGCTCTTTTTTCATTCCCTGTACTTTGCCCCTCAAATACCAACACATACATAGTAACCCAGCCAGAGAGACGCGCAAGAAGAGCCCACATAAGGATTCCAGGTTCCGAATTGAGTGGCAGTAATGGAATACTGCTGCTCAATTGACCAGCAACTGTCGCCACTGGCGACTAGATGCCATGTCTTGCAGGTGCTGGTAGTGTTAGGCATGGGATGAACTGTCTTAGTAGCAACGCAGTAGTAATATCCTCCCTGCAGATTGGCGCACGATGATCCAACAGCTGGATTCCAGGTGTAGAATTCATCCGAAGTCAGGTAGGTATATTTTTCGTTGACAATAGACCAGCAGCTGTCGCCGGACACTGCCTGATAGTAGGTCTCACAGTCGGCGGTTATACCAGCCTGGGTTGGAGAAGGACCAGCTGATGTTGCTGCAGCAGTGGTAGTGGTGGATTTCTCGGTCGTTGTGGATGTGCCTTCAAAGGTATTAGCAACCAAATTCAGAGGGATAAGAAGATTCAAGACGGGAAGATTTAGGGTCATACCAGAGATACCAACACAAACATAATAACCAGCTAGTAGTGTTCCGCAAGACAAACCTACAGCCGGATTCCAGTTATAGAAGTCTGTGACGGAAATACTGTACTTAATGGCAATGCCAGCGCAGGAGTCATCCTTCTGTACAAAGTAGTACCTATTGCCTATACTGTTTGTGAGTATGAGTTGCAGCAGGATAGTCTTTGCGTGATGAATCTACTTGAGATGAAGCAAAGAAAATGTAAACCTACACTCTTTCGTTATTCCAGTCTGCTGAGGAGAGTACGAGGAGCTTGTGGCCGTGGCTGTTGTGGTTGTGGGAGCGGCAGTTATCGTAGTTTAGAAGAGAACTCACCTCCAATGTCCATTCAATCCCGGTCTACTCCGAATGTGCAATGTTTGCCTGTGGGGGTGGCAAAACAGAATAGCAAAGTAACGGAGGAAGGAAGACTGCTAATTCCTGTTGCAAATCTTTGCCTGGTTGATAATTTATATGGTAATTTGGAAAACAATCCTACCTTGGCAATGCAGAAGAAATAAGATACAAGATTACATTACCAGCACAAAAGATACCAGGTAGTACGTGGTAGTCTTCTAGTATCCGTATTGTACAAGTATATCACATTCACAACCTGAAGGACCCGCCGGCTTCTTGGGCTCTTGAGGCAAAGTAGAATCGAAAACGAACCACGACTTACGCGGGATCTCGAAGTCAAGACCGTTATCTTGTCTGTTTATCTGTTGCCAAAGGAGATAATTCTCTATAGTCTCCTTTTGGGGTAAGTCTTGGTTGGAGAATTTGGATAGCAGTGCCACTGCCTCCTCAAACTCCTTCTTCACTGCTAAGCACAAATCACCCTGCCCTGGGAGGACACCCTTTGCTAGCAGGAGCCTCAGAATTTGCAGGCGCCGAAAATGAATAGCAAACCCTATGGAGCTATAAAAGAGTGTCTCAAAAAAGCCATTCTCATCATGTGTCCATAATTCGCACTCCAGATGCGGGTTTGCGCCCTCTTCAATGAGAAACTCGACCATCTCGTATTGGCCATCCATGATAGCGGTGAACAACGCTGCATGGCCGTCCATGCTCAAATCCAGTCCATAATCAATGAAACATTGGAGTAGGATCTTGTCGTTTCGGCTTGCTATAAAGCATAGACCTGTATCGCTGTTGAGTCTGATACCATGCTCAAGAAGAAGTTTGACGACTTGTGGTTGATCAGTTTCTATGGCCCTTGCGATGGGGCACGGTTCTTCGTGCTGACCTGGCCGTGCACCCGCGTTGAGCAGACGGGGAATGATGGACTCGTCTCTTGAGACTACAGCAACCCCCAGGGCGGAGAGCGCTTCCCGCTCCTCCCCTGCTGGATCTAAGGGGGCCTTTTGATGGATCATGAGTTCCACGAGCTCACTGTCGCGAGCGCGGATGGCCAAATGGAGGACAGTGCGCAGCTGAGCTGGTGAACATGCTTGACCCGGCCGTGTCTCAGAAAGCATGGATTTGAGGATTGCAATATGCCCACCCTGGGCGGCAAGCAAGAGCGGGTTCTCAATTTCCGAAAGACGAGTATTTCTGTCATGATTTGTTTCTGCTGGGCTCTCGAAGTGTGCGATGTTTGCGCCAGCATTGAGTAGCTTCGTTGCCAAACGGATATGTCCCTTCTTGGCGGCCCATATCAAGGCTGAGCCCTGATGATGCTCGACATTATATCGACATAGAAAGAAATGCAGATGGTGGTAAAGATTTCGGTTGACTTGCGTTAAAGCGTCGATGTCCCTTTGGCCGGGCAAATACTCTGCGATGAAAAGAAGGACTTCGATTGGCAATTGGTCTAACTGAGCCATAGCCCTTATATTGCTCAAGGCTTATTCCCCAAGTTGTAGATTGTGTTGAAGTAGCCACTGGCATGGGCAATAAAAGGGAGTGGTCCGCCCGTGCTCGTAGTCAGGGGAGGGTGAGACCGTGACTCCGTGAGAGTGAGGGTGAGAGTGAGTGTGTCACATGCCCCATTCATGTAATATAGGCTAACTAATATAAGCATAGTATCTATTCCAGCTGCTCCTCAATAGAGGGCTAGATCAATCAACTGTACAAAGGGGGGCAGAGAATTACTGGCCCGTACCAGGGGTATAGATAGTACTGCAATCTTCCCCCCTTCTATCTGCATTATTCAAAGGGAAAGCAGCGCAGGCTGCGCTGGATGGCTCGAAGGGCTGGACAGGGCCGGCCATTTGTGCTGGTGATATAGGGGGTGGCGGAGCTCGGTGATCCAGATCAATGGCAAAAATACCTCACTCGCAAGGCGCACATGAGGAAACGTGAGAAAGGGAGGGTAGAAGGGCGAAAAACAGCTAGAAGTTGAAGCGGTGATGAAGGGGACTTTATAGAACCACACACGGTGATAGTAACGCGCATAGAGACGCTAAGCCTGAATAGGCTGCTAAACTCTTTTGCGTACTTCACGTGGTTACAGATCGGCTCTGGTCAAGATATTCACTCTGGCGTGGTGAAATTACTTAGTAACAATGTAAAGTATTAAAAGGTCGCGCAAGATCAAGCTGCTGAGTAACTGGCTTGGCAGTCACGTGCTTGGGGTATGGGTCACGCGAGACTTCAGGGCAGCTCGGGTGACCTGTGTACACTTAATTCACTGTCACCGAATTATACGGGGTAGGCCCTCCCACAGCTATTATCAAATGTTGATTGCTCACTCCGCATATTATGGCAATAATGCATTATGATCTATACTCCCAGGGAGACTAGCTGTGCACAGATTGAGTAGGAAATCTCGATCAATTCAATTCTAGTTGCCAGCCTCATGCAGACTCATTTACTATCTTCATGGCGCAGAGCACACACTTGCATGCACAGAAGGAGGGTTACTAGTTGCATCGCCCCAGTTCGCAGACCCGAGAGATTCGCCAGCAGCGGTGGTATCATCTGATAGGATCTAATGCTTGTCAACAAATGCCAAACTTGCCATGGAAGAAAGACGAAGAACTCACATAATAGCTCTTGTCAACATAATACCACCAGTCATCGCTGCGGAACGCATTATCCGTTGACTGGCTGATGGGATCATTCCAGCCGGTATTACGGTCATCAAAGTGAGCGTGCTTGGACCAAGCAACATAGACCTTAGGATGGTCGTTATTCTGCACCCCATTGGGATTTTTGGCATCCCCGGCATTGATCTCCTCGGTGGTAAGTGTGTTCTGGATATCTCCCCATGCCAAGTCATGGTAGCCACTGTGCGCAGAGAGAAGAGCACGAGACGGCGCCCACATGTTGTTTGCGTCTCTCGAGTGGATGATGATCACTCTCTCCCAGTCACTAGGCATCTATTAGCTCATCCAATTGATCACTTCGACATTCAATATACTCACTAATCATGACCAGTTTCGATACCGATGACCTCAGCGCCATCCTTCTCATAAAACAGGTTATACACCACCCGCACCTCGGTGTCACTACACCTCTTGTAGGTGAAGTATATTGGGAACGCTGGTCCGCGGTTCCCGATCCCCACGCCGGGATTGCGGCATTTGCATCCGACATTGGGATAATCACACTGTGGCGCGGCTGGTGTTTTGTGAGCGTCGTCGTAGACATCAGGCGAATTGGGAGAGCCACCAAAGGCCCATGTAGGATAGCACGGAGGCTGATTCTGGGCTTGACCGAAAAACCACAGCGGGGCGTAACGGTCTGCAAGCTCAACGCCTCCTTGACTCAGAAGATTGCTCATCTCATTGTCTGTGATTTGGGTGACTGCTGCTGCCAACCTGGCTGACAGTGCAGCAAGACTGATGAAATGAAGTTTTGACCACATGGTAGGTTACAAGTTCTTAGTAGCGGTTCACAGTTGCTGCTCAGGATGAGGAGTATACATCATATCCAATCTGGGCAGAGGAAATCTCATCTCTTAAATCCTCGCAAATGAGCGTCTCGAGGGACAGATCCCCGTGAGAACTAGAGCTCATAAGAGAAGGTAACATTCCGTTGATGAGCCTAGATTAAACGGCTCGCGTTACATTCTAAGGTGTCAATATTGTGAAGAAATTAGTTACAATGAGAAGCTTGCCAGGAACCAAGTGACGAGATTGGCTGATGGATGGCAGCTGAAGGTAATCAGAACGGCTCATCATGCATGGTTGTCTCAAGTGAGAAGCGGAAGCCGAATGATCAGTGATAGTGTCGATCAGAAAGCTCAACTTGGGGCCATTTCTAGGACGAGTTTCCCAATGCGGTCCAGGGCCCCGAGTGAGACTGTGACAGCTAGGTTTCCGCTAGCATAAATTGGTAATTAGATTATGTTGCTAGAGGAACATGCTCTCGTTAATGGCGTTCATTGGCTTCCGCGCTCTAGTATAGGCAACCGCGGGAATTGATGTAAAGAACAGACATGAATAATCTTGAAGATATCATCCAGGAAGAATTTATGAGTAGCCCCAATAATATACAGATCGAAATATGCAGTATATATGCTCATTTTGATTTCTTATTACCATAGTCGTCCACGAGATCACTCTCTTCATCCATCCCTGACCACTTAGTTTTGCCATCCGGAATTTCTATGCAACGTTTGTCGTAGAAAATATGACAACTGCGTGATAAAGTTAGCCAGGAATTTCTGATGGCAATTGTTGAGGAGTGATGACATACTCAGGTGCGAAAGCCTCCCTCCACTTCTGGCGCTCCTCGTCCGAATCGCCAGCGACAATGGCCTCTGGGAAAATGAGGCATACATTTCGCCCTTCGTCCATGATGGGAGTCCGACAGAATGAACATGATACTTTTGTTGGAACCTCGTATTCTCTCGTACTGTGAGCGGAAGAATAGAACGAGAGACCGTGGGCTCCCTTGTCGAATGTCAAATCAGACTTGTGGAAAATTGCAGCCCATTGGAAAGGAGCACCTGCAAATGGGTCAGTGTCTCTCAAAAAATGACTTGGACATTGTGTGGACTATATGCCATGGTCTACTCACCATGCATGACTTGGCAACCTCGACAATGACAGTACTTGGCCCTGAGCGGCTTTTCTCGACTAATCTTATAGGTGACTTGACCACACTGGCATTTGGCTTGCCACTTCACAGGACCGAACTCCTCAGGGGGTTGAATCAGATACGGAGGACGTTGTTTCCATTCCTCATTCTCCATGGGGCGCTCTGATGACGCATTGGAGGCATTGGGTTTGGGGATTGACGATCCCTTAGCTGGCATATCTTCTGCTCTTTTTGAAAATGGCCTGAGCTGGAAACTATACTTTGACGCAGTCTGAGCAGCTTTGGTCAGGTAAACCCGCTTGATTGCCTGTTGATGCTTAACTGGGCGAATTGCAGTCGAGAATGACCAGTTGGTGGCACAACGAGCGGTTGCGAACCTTGTGCAGAGCATGAAGATGAATGTTTTTCAGAGAGGACAATGTTCAGACTGAATTCGATGCGACTCTCTTGAATCGGCTTATATACCATGGACAATCAGGTATTTCATCGTATTCTTGAATGTATTCAATCATGATGCATGACATCATTACGATGTCAGGTAGAATTGATACTGGACAGACGTGTCTTGACTTCCCTGATTGACGGCTGAAGTTGTCAGGGACTTCCATGGATATAGACATAACCTTATCGTCAAGCTTCCCAAGAAAAGAATAAGAATAGAAAGTTTTCTTGATTTCCTGCAGATTCAAACCCAATGTGACCTCATACGAGAGAGTCTGGCCAACTGGAGACGATCTGGCCACGTGAGCATCGGAGTTAAGTCGATGGCTAAAATAGCAGCCATAACTAACTAATTAGTGAGATCGATCAATTGTTTTGATAATGGTACTCCTGCGACCTTTCAACGCTTTTCGTGAGAATACCTCTGTAGTTATGATTATCTAGACCACTGTCGTTGCTCACATGCTCTCAAAATGCTGCACTGATCCCCAGCTCAATTATTTTGTCTGATTATTAATTGATCACAGAAAAAGGCCTGGATTAACTTGGATAATATAGACTATGACTGGCTACTTCGAAAAGAGCAGTTCAAAGGCTGAAACGTCGTTCATTTACCACCCCACTGGTTTAAGTCTGATCGGCCAGTTCTGACTGCCAACATGAAACACCCGCCCGCGTTTCGTACAAAGCTCCTATCTTGGCAATCGGCATCACTTTTGGATGTCTGATCGAAACATTGAAAGAGCTGCTGGATATCCCTGTACATGTCAAACAAATTGACAGCTATTAATCGACATGGACGTTGGAATACTCGTGCGCGGCAAATGTACTGTTCGGATAGCGACCTGTTGATAGGACCGATATAAATAGACAGGCCCAAAGGGGAATATCACAATCCTTCATTCCTCCATTCAAGACCAGCCAAATAGCCAAGGCAAGCGACAAAGAAGCCTCCAGCGCGTGTCCATCGTTCTTGGTCCCAATCACATTATCACACCTCCAGCCGTCAAAAAGAGGATCCTACTTTCCGTCTGCTGTTATCTACTCCGTGGTCGAAACTCAATGGAAAAATGAACACGAATTACGACGGATGAAAGCATCAAAAAGGGCTATCTGTCTCTCGGCTATCCAACTGTCCAATCCTCCAAGGTGCCGACTCACTAAGACAAGTGCATGTCCCAATCATAACCGACTGTCTCTCGCAGCCTCGCTTACTTTAGTTTTGATGATCCTCCGGTCTCCCCCCTCCTTCATCTTTATTTAATTTCCAGTTGATCACTCTTCAAATCTCGCCCCCCCTTGGTGATTCTCGAACCCAACAATCCTTATCAATGTTGTCTTTCTCCCACTCCGCAAACTGCCTCTAGCAATAATATCATAATCATTATGGGCTTATTTAATCGACTTAGACGGCGTTCCAAGAGCCACAGCCGTGCGGGGAATGCGGCCAGCTATGAACATCTCCGCATCTCTCCCGATCATAGTGTCCCCCCAGTTCCCACGTTAAGGCGAGACGTCACCAAGATCCTTCCTCCTCCGGTTCTAGCGCGAATCTTTGCTTTTGTCTGTCCCCATGCAGCGGACAGCAGCTATGCGACTTCGGAGGAGTCCATGACCGAGGATGGCTGCATGCTCTGTGACATGCGCGACCTAGCACACTGTGCTGTGGTGTGCAAGCGGTGGTATCCGGCTGCTCGAAGTGTATTGTAAGCTTCTCCGCTCTGGTCTACTCTTGTTCTGTGTTGTTTGATCTCGCCGCTCATTTCAATCCCTATACACAGGTACTCCAATGTCCGCATCGATGCCGTCCACTACTGCGAACTCGAAGTCCAACTGGCAGCCAGGCGAAAGCGCCGTTCCTTCTTTGACCGCAATGGCGATCCCATTGATGCACCCCAGGCCCGGTTGGAGTTATTCATGCGCTCGGTGCGAAATTCACATGAGCTGGGAAACATGGTCTTATCTCTGCGAATGCCATACATGACGCGTGAAGCAAACAAGGCGGGCATTGCCCGAACGATCTCCGTGTGCCCCAACCTCCGATATGTGGACTTGCCGGCTGGCCTATACAGCGATGACCCGACATGTCTTGCCCTGAAGCAAGAACTCATGGCCCGTTGTCCCGATATACGCCGCATGGCCTATCGCCATGGCTGCGAAGGAAGCTTCTCGCAGTTGCCAGGATCTCGTTTGTGGATGAACCTGGAAATCTTGGAGTTGTCGCGACTCCAAATCGAGCCAAACATTCTTCGCTTTGGTCTGGGCGCTTTTCCCTATCTGCGTGAATTGACATTGGAAGAGCTTCCTTGGCTTGATGATTCCGCTTTTAGACACTCTCAATCACTGCCTCCATTCCCAGCCGTCCAACGGCTTACACTTCGAGATACCCCAAAGGTCACGGCAAGCGGGCTTGCCGCATTCTTCTCACTTCCTGTGAATCGCAAATCACTACATTATCTGACTTTGTCGGCCACCGGAGTGCTTCCATCCACTCTGTATCAAATTCTAGCTTCGGCGCCATGTCTGCAAGGACTTTTCTTCATTCAAGAAGTATCCCGATCCTTTCCCACGGAACAGGTACCACCGTTGGCGTCAACATCGCTCAACATGCTGCACTATGAGATCACTTCTTCGAACACATCTTATGGTCTACCACCTATTGCAGCCTCATACTATACCTACCTGATCTCTTCTTTAATGTCAAATTGTCTTCCAGCTTTACGCGATCTGTATGTTCGCGACGCCAGCTTCCCAGAAGCGCTGCTACTTGCGCCTCCACCTCGAATCTTCGGAGGTGGTGAAAACGGCCCGCAAATCCCTTCTGGCGGTCTCTCGCAGCCCCTCAATGTGTACAGCAAGGGATTGGACGAACTGGAATGGAACTTTACTCCGTATGAGCCGCCTCAGACGCGCGGCCGGCGGGAGAGCACGACACGTCCGGTGAGCTTCCATGACGCACAATTGAGTCGATCTTGGGGAGGAGACGCAAGGAAGAGTGTCCTCGTCGGAAATGGGTTCGGCGGATTTCTCGCCGTACCTGTCGATGACGATCGTCCGAAGAGTAGTGGGGGCTGGAGACGTCAAAGTCGGCAAGACTTATGGCGGTGATTCTGCTGATCATTCCAAGGGGGCGTGGGCGTGTGACATAAGTGATATATGACCAACCACGGAATAATGGCATAATGATATACCCTGAATTGCTGAATGTGCACTTTCCTAGACGGCATGTTTCTTTTCATTTTCCAGAAGCACAGCACGCGAGCTACAGGGGAATCCCTGAAACTCACGACTGAGACAGGACCAGAAATTGTCCGGAGCTGTTGTTACAATAGGTGGGTTTGATCTTGAGGTACCTGAATGTTCGACAACCTCCTTCCATTTGTGGTACCGAAATAGACTTCATCCTTGTTCGCTTCTTAGACTCGCTTGTACCACCTACATCCCCCATTAACCTTCTGTCTTGGTATCCCAATATCAGCACGACCTCACCATGTTTCCCTCCTATCGAAACAGCCAGTACTAGACCCAGATTCTGCGATCTCGAACCCTCTCGTCTGTCTTGAGAGCAGCTAGACGATGGCTGCAGTCATTTCAGACAATGATAACATTCTGGATGGGGCGAACGGCGAAGAGGATCCATCAGAGCTAGAAGTCGCTGCAGAAAGCAATTGCAGAAACGAGATGTCATCCTCCATCGCAACGTGAGTTCCGCCAGGCCACAATTCTAGTGGTCTACTAAGGAAACCTGTCCAAACAGTCTGAGGGCGAACCCTAAGTACAGCGACTTCCTGATCCTCTGCGGTGATCATATCTTTCCAGCCCATAAGGCGATAATCTGCTCGCAGTCCGACTTTTTCGCCAAAGTGTTCGACTCGCATTTCTCCGTCGGTTACCGAGTTGCTTCCTCGTCTATAACAAGCAAGCTTCTGACAACAATATCGCAGGAAGCCTGCACGGGGCGAATCAGGCTCCCTGACCATCCGCTGGTCGTCCTTCTGCTGCTCGATTACCTCTATTCAAGCGATTACACATTCTATCTGGATTATGAGTTCCCTACATCGTTCTTAGCTGAAGGACAGAGTCCACCAGGCGATCTTGTCGGTCAGTCCGGGCCTTAACGCTTGAGCAGGTACATTCCTGACACTAGGGGGACTATAGATCGTCTCCACTGCTGCGAACTCTCTGTTCATGCACAGGTGTTCCTCGTCGCGGATCGCCTTCTTATTAGAGGATTGAAGTATCTGGCCAAGGAGAAGTTTGCAGAGATTCTCAGAAAGGCATCGTTTCCGACGGTATATCCCCGTGCTGTCAGGGAAGTCTATACAATGACTTCGATACACCATCGGCTTCTGCGTGATGTAGTTGTCGATTTTACGTTGGATACCTTACATAGCCATGGCGAAAGGGGCCACTTTGATCCCAACTTCCCGAGGCATATTCTCGAGGAGCTTCCGGAGTTCGCGCAGGACTTGACGACTAAGCTTGTTGATGAATGGGTGGAGGATGAGAAGAGTATCGCTTCGGACTTAATGCAAATCGCGGAAAACTTTCGGCTTTGTTGATGGGTGGCTTACCGTTTTGGGTACGAGCCTGATGGCCTCATATGAGATACGATTGATATACCATGAATGCTATTCATGAGGTTGGTGGAACTTTATACTTTGCACCCTTTGAGCTTCGAGATGCGTTGGATAGATACCATTCGTTTGTATGCAGGTCTTAAAGGAAGTCACTCCGTGATAGGCTAGAATCATGACTGATTCTGAACCGAGCATTCACTGGACATCCTCAGATGAACCAGATTCTACCATCTAGCATGTCCTCCCAACAACCAACGCAGCCACATCATGACTCTCCAATTCCGCACTGTAATGATCTCTCGCGCAACCCAAATCCTTCCCGGTCCAGACATCCGTCACCCGAAATCCAGTGCGCCGTTTCCCCTGCCTCCTAAGCACATCTTTCAGCCCAGGAATCTCCTTCCACACAGCCGTACGCGTCTGCTTCGTATCTTCCGAATTCAGCATCAGCACCAGCGTGCCATCCAACGTCGACGATGCGCCGGACCAGTACTCTGCCGGATGAGCAGGGTCAAACGTCCAGTCAGGGTTATACCCCCATTTGTACGGGTGGGCAGGACGGCCCACCACCGGGTCCTGGTGGAACTTTAGGAGAACCTTATTTGAGAGGATCGCGAGGTGGTCCTGGCTGATGGAGTCGAGCTGGTGATCGAGTCAGTACATATCCACTATCTTGATGGATCCCATTGCAGAGACAAACGCACCGCGGTCCCGATGATCAAGGGCGACTTCATCGCCGCCCAGAGCGCAAAGTGCGCTCTGTTCTCTGCTAGCGTGAGATTGCCATTGCCAATCTCCAGCATGTCCGGGTCCGGATGGCCCCAGAAATCAACGTAGTTCATCAGGAAGGAGTTCTCGTTGGCGATTGCGGCGATACGGGGCCATGATGCTATGGTATCGGTTTAAATAACAGACACAGGTACGAATGAAGGTTGAAGCTTACGCGTGATATCACCGGACATGCGCCAGGAGTTGCCTGTTTCGTCGCCCCAGTCGTTCACGTCCGCTTGACCCCAGTCACATAGTGAGTACAGCATCGTGCGGTCGACGCTGACCAACGCATCGCGCATCCGTCTGTATCGCTCGGCTGTCAGCGATGTGCTCCAGTCGTAGCCCGCCGGCGCGGGATTCTTGTTATCGGGACAGGTCCCGTTTGTGGCTTTACTGCCCGGGTCTGGGACGCAGTAGGTGTATGCGTCGGTCCAGTTCGAGGGGACGCCGCAGTTGTCGTACTTCAGGTCTGATTGCGGTTAGTTAGCTGAGGGTGCTTGAGATCTAAGAACTTGGGATAAAACGTACAGTCAATGCCCCATTCCGCGAACGTCTGCGCATCGATGTCCTCGTAGCCCAGACTGGCAGGGTATCCAGCGCAGGTCGTCAGCCCGGCGCCTTCATGCTGTCAGCTCCTTGCTCATCTGTATCTATCTAGTGGCAGTGACTCACTGCTGTATATCCCGACTTTCAGCCCCAGATCATGGATCTGGTCCGCTAGGCCCGAGATACCATCAGGGAACTTCTCAGGGTCGGGTATAATGCGCTGCGTGCTCGCGTCCCGTCCGCTCTTGACGGACCAGCAATCATCAACTACCCCCGGTCAACACCAACATCATCGTAGGACTTGGACGAGGTCACTCACTATTGATATACTCGTACCCCAAGTCCTTCAGGCCCAGATTGACGACCTCGTTCGCGGCAGTCATGATCTTGGCCGCATCAATGTCGCAGCCGAACGCATTCCACGAGTTCCAGCCTAGGGCTGGTAGTTTTCCCTACTGAGTTTTAGACTTGCTCGTACGAGGAATAGAAGAGAAGAGCATGAGTAACTTACCACATTGCCCGGTCTAACGAGCGCATTGCTCCCTCGAGCGAGAGTTAATACTGCAACTGCAGTGGCTAGAGAGGGAGACTTCGTCATCTCGACTGGCTGCTTCCCTGATACCTTCGATGGAGAGAAATGCGAAGTTAAAGCCAAACACCCTCGATCTGGTTCTCAGTGTGACTGCAACATAGAGAGGTACGCCGTACGCGGAGTATGTATATAGCAAACATTCCCCGCATCAGACCACCGAACAAGCATCCACGACAAGTGCTGCCGACGGCTGTACATCATCGCTGATCATCACCCTGTCGAACCAATCAACCAGATCCCAGATGATTGCTCTTGGAGAATTCAGCCTAAGATTCTGGCTTTTGGAGGCTAGCGCTATGTCTAGTTTGGCATATATTGTAACGGTTGCATGGCAGATACTCCGTGCGGGTTAAAATGCAGAGCACGGACGAAATACCGTGCTGAAATGAGAAGGTGAGATGCATGTTTGCGACTAAGTGTGCATTAGACTTTGCATTAGACATCCGGGTAAGTCCGTATATTCTGACTTGACGTATGGACTTAGTGCTTGGGTCAGGCTGGGCGTATCATCGATGTTCATGGTTATGTTTGTTTTGCGGGAGTTGTGATGTCTGCATGTAATAGTATAATGAAAAATTATGATCAGAATGCAGTTGTCTAATCACCTGCCTGCATAGCAGTGAATCTATCTACCACCCAGGGCTCTCTTCATGATACATGTCTATCGTGAAATCATTAGTCGTACAACAACAACAACAACAACAACAGCACAGCATAGCAACAACACCGCGACGCAGGAAACCGTCTTATACACTTCACTCCCTGACCAACTTTTACCTGTAGCAAAGAAGCTGATCACCGCAGAAGAAATGCCATGCAAGGAAATGCGGAGAAGAAAGACGAATATCAAGCAACGGCTCATTGACTACCCGTGCCTAGAATCAATGCTCGTGCCTGCTGAGGATCTGTCCCCAGAACGCTAATCAGGTATTCAATGCTACACACGTTAGCAAAGCCTGAACAGAGAGACAGTAAGAATAGCTTACCTAGCTTCAGAAGCCAGCCTGCGCTTCTCTTTTTGGAATTCTTGCTGACATGATTCCCACACCGTGGCACGTTCCTGCGGTAGCACAGTCTTGATGCGGAGCTTGAAAGATGCGCTCACAGGCCGATGGTCGGAGGCTCGGACCTCGTGTCGTCGATAATCCAGCTGCTTAATCCGACCTAGGCCCCTGTAGAGGACGCGATCGCACCACGCAGGGGACCGTTTCTTCTCACTCGAGTCATATTCGTCCGTGCCGACATCGTACTTGTACGTCGGCGCGAACGTGATGGGCGCCTCCGTGAATGACCGGAGTCGGAAGCCGGGGTTCTTGCGTCGCGATGCCAGCAGTTGGTCTCGCTCAAGCAGCTTTGCGAGGTTGTTGTTGCGAATGTCCTCGATGATCACATTTCGTGGGATCGAGTCGATTCGGTAATTAAGATCACCGTTGAGAATGCAAATCTCATGATCCATAATCATCGTGCCATCACCGCCGCTGACAAAGTGGTTTGCCCGAGTGGTAAGGCTGTTCTCTACCGGAAGCACTTCGGACTCGAGAATGGCTGCAATGTCATTGTTGCGGTGCGCCGTTTGCGACTGCCCGGCTGCTAAATGGCAATTCACGAAACAGAAAGAACTATCGTCGAGTATGAAGCGAAGAATCAGGGCACCCTGTGCAATCAGCAACCGGACCAAAACCAGTGCAGTCCCTCAGAATGCATACCTTGTTTCCGTGCAATCCTCCCATACCCCGCTTCACCTCTGCAGCGCCGATGTTCTTGATCCTCTGTCGCTCCTTGTGCTTGACAAAGACGCAGGTAAAGAGACCAATGAGATTCGCTGAATGAAGAAGGACATATGACTCCTCGAGGGGCATGCAGTCGTTGATACAGCGAGTCAAATGCTCCATCCATACCCGGTACTGACGGCTCATATGTTCTTTCTCTCCGCTGTCTTTCTTCTTGCTTCCCAGCAGCAAGCTTTCTAAAGACGAATTAGCAGAACTCGCATGTGAGGCAGCCCAGACTCTTACTCACTGGCTGTGATTTTCTTATTCTCCAGATCCACAAGCTCCTGGAAGCCGAAGACCAAAATCTCGGGTGGATTCTCGGGATGAATTGCCTCCTGGATGAAGTTGCTGGAGCGGACACTACCTGGCGTAGACGCGCCAGCGTTCCATGTCACAATGACTGCCGAGATCTCACGGAACTTGCAGAATTCTACGTCTCTGCTCTGCATGCGGGTTTCTGTTGACGTTAGTTTTCGCTTTTCATTCATCGTACCTGGGGAATATCGCCTTACCCAGCCAATCATCCTCCAGCATTCCATCCCAGAGACGAATACAATTATCGTCTCCTAACGAGGTCACCTGCAGACGGTTCATGGTCCAGACACTACTGAAATCCAGCAGGAAGCTAGAGACTGGACCGTCATGCGCTCGCCAATCCTTCTTTACTATCCATGGGTCGGTCCTCGTGTCGTAGACATAGATCATGCCCGTCTTATAGGCCGCCCATAGATAATCACCAACCACACCTAAGCAGTTGATCTTGTAAACGCTTACATTGACGACTGCTAGACAAGCGTAATCTGTGGAAGAGTACACGGTAACCTTGCCATCCGCATGGCCCAGGTACACACGTCCCCCATCTCTAGTCGTGTAGATACCGGACGTGACATCGCCAGTGTGCTGCGAGCCTAGAGGTTTCTTCAAAACCTTGAATGAGATATCGTCAGGTGCGTTTGGCCGATATATATGGACCTCCTTGCCGGTGGCCAGCCATAATGTATCTCCAACAACCAACGAGAATGTGTGTCCTCGGGCGACACGGTCATAAGGGTTGTGGTAGCTGTACTGAAGATTCGGGGTCCCAGTCTCATCCGGCGGCCAGACGAGCAATCGTCCTTCGTCGTCAAGGGTCCACATCTCCTTTTTGTGTCGGAGGATCTTGATCACTTCACGACGCGAAGGATAGGAGCGCGTTGCTATAATGGATCGAGTGGAGATGTCCACTTCATGGATTTCTCCCGTGCTCATGCCAAGCCATAGCCGCTGACCCTCATCCTCCAGGCCGGTACCAGGCTTGAATGCTATCGATAGACTCTTCACAGTCTCCCCATGGCTGAGACTCAAGATTTGTTCTCCGTTGGTGAGGTCCCATACCCGCGTCAAATAACCTGTTGTACACACATGCTTGCCGCATACATCCATCAAACGAGTGTCATATCTTGTATGGATCTCCCTCGGTCCGTTCTTAAGAAGAGGCGGTCGACGATTAGTGCTTGATGCGTCCGGATAGTCGGTCCGCGAGATTGCCGGTTCGTCCACGGGATCCTGTCCGAATGTGTCCGCGCGGACCAACTGCCGTTCAGGAACAGAAGACGCCTGCCCTGGCTTAGCTTCTCTGGAGAACGACGGCTGTCGGTGTACTTGCGTGGGCGTTTGGATCTCCCTTGGGGGCAGTTGGAATGATTGCGGTCTAGGCGATGGTTCAGGATGCGAAGAGCCGTCCAGATGAAGCGACGGCCGAGACGGAGATGCGCCATTCCTTCGCGCCAAGGGCGAATGCCGTGGCGGGAGGCTGGGAGGCTCGGTGGGAGTATCGGTCGCTTGGAGCCTGCGAGCTGACAACGGCGCAGCTGACAAGGGCTCCGTCTGTTTCATTGGATGTGGTGGGACCTGTACCATCAGTGGTTTCATGTCCCGCGTCGGTTCCGGGATGGGTCTCCTGCGCGAAAAGCCAAGCTCGCGCGCATCCCGAAGAGCTTGCGCAGACGGCACAGGGCTCCTATCATCGAACGATTGACGACTTGGGGGTTCAGTCGTCGGCCGAGAAGGAGAGCGTGGCATCTGCGGACGTCCACAAGATGATGGTTTGACGGATGGCTTCTCGGGACTGCCTGGGGGCGTGCTGAACGGTGATATCCGATCCTCCGACGTTGTCCTCTCTGGTTTGGGTGCCAGAGTTGCGCTCTCATGGGAAGTTAAGGCTGCCGGCTTTGCAGGGACCTTCGGCTTCTCCGCCCGATCGATGGGGGGAGGCAACGAAGAGCTTTTTTGCTTTCGATCAGGCGGACTCTCACCGATGAAGCTCCCCGAATGAGAATGCGCTGGCGACAGATGACCAGGCACCTGCTGGAAGGCCGAGGAATTGGGCGTTGTTGGTCGGTTGGTCGGCGGCGGTAATGAGCCCCGAGAGGGGTCCGGGGGACTGCGGGACATCCTGGAGTTGACGGTATGCTCAGCGTGGTTTTGGGCTCCAAATCCGCGCGGAGGTGATCGCGGCGAGTCAACCGTCAAAGTCGGTGCTAGTTGCGGCGACGAGTGGAAGTTCATCGACATGGGTCTGCTCTGCCACCTGCCTGGAGACCTTTCCGGGGAGCCGCTTCGCCGTGAAAATCCGCCATTTGCCCGATCGTACCGCTGGCCGTTCTGAGGCTTTGCCGTCGCATTCCATGGGGATTGAGACCGAGAAAGGTCGAGAGAAGCGCGCGCAGAGCGCACCTCGTCGACAGGTTCGGGCGTCCTCAGGAAGGGAGTCGAATCATGCGGACTCGTAGCTGTAAAGGCGGATGGTGATCGGCGATGGGACAGGTTCTCGAAATGTGACAGAAGGGAGGAAACCGGTCTCTGCGGAAATTTCCAGGATCAGTAAAAGATGCTCATACACTTGCACAGGAAGCGCAACTCATACAATGGGAGCATTATCCGTGCCGTCCTTGTCCTTGCCGCTTCCCTCCATGACCACAACGAGAGATCGCGCGCAGGAAGGGCGAGGAGATATGAATCATAGGCCTTTGTCGAATCTCGAACCTTGCGTCCGGTGCAATGTTATTCTATGTCGAAGTTCGGTATTGAGAGTCGGGACAAGTAGCCGAGAAGAGACCCGAAGTAAATATGGTGGCGGGCAGGTCAAGAAGTCAGGTGCAGATCGTTGGGTATAAAGGAGCGAGAAACGGATCGAGAAAGGAAACTGAGCAGGAGAAATGACCGTCCAGAAGTCATCTGACGAAGATCTTGAGCCGCAGCTGGAGTTATACTTAGACAGTAGCTGAAGATGAGTCCTCGGGAAAAAGGCGAGGATGAAGATCGACCAGAAGGAGACAGGGGGCGGTGCAAAAGCGTGTGGAGAGTCAAAGGGATGACGATTAACAAGTGGGGTTGAGGAGGAGTAGAGGGGGAGCTTGAATGAAGGAAAGCAGAGCAGTAGAAGAGCAAAGGCCAGAGTTGAAAAGGAAGGGAATGAAGATCTATCTCTTCTGAATATCAATCCATAACGATAACCATGATAACCTAACAATTGCGACCCGATCCATCACTGGCAGCACCTCCGTCCATACTCCGTACTTTGATTCAACCAGCCAAGACGGTGGCCTTTATATTTTTAGCTTCCTTTCTTTTAGTCTCTATCAATTTAGTCAACCTCTCTAACAGAGTAGACTATAGACACACAATTCTTACTCTCATTCCATATCACACTCATTTACGCCTCACAATGTGGTACGTCCATTCCATTTTAATCACCACCACGCTATAGTTACTCCCTCTAACCACCACACAGCAAACACGTCCTCAACGCCCAAGTAGCCATCCGTTCTCCCTGCTGTAAGCCACACCACGCCAACGCATTCGCAAAAGCCATAGCTACTCTCAATACTCACCATCCTCATCCCCCCAGGCCGAAAATGGTTCGACTGCGCCGAATGCCACCTCGAACAAGAAACCCACCCGCTCACCAAATCCAGCGAAATGGTATTCCCACGCTCACACCCCCGCTACCTGCAAATACCAACTTCTAAACCGTTATCACCAGACATTCGCCTGTAAAAAGTGCAAGAAGTGTTTCCGGAAGGACGCGACGGAGTTCGATGAGAGGTGCGTTCATGCTGAATGGCCCAGGGGTGCCCGGAGAGTGTGCTTGTGACTCCGGGGCCTCTCGGGCGAGGATGTCAGGTGCTGATGATTACGGTAGTGACGAGTACTGCCCGCACTGCGATAATCATTTTGTGATCGACGCTGTGACGCCCAAGGCTGCGTTGCAGGTTGAGGGTGATGATGCTCGGATTGATTCTAGGTATGTCTCTTCCATCTGGTGCTTCTTTTGAAACGTTGTCGTATGCGGTCGATGGATGATGCTGACTTTTCGCGATTTAGAATGATCAAGGACGACCGGGTACGGGAACACAAGGAAAAGTCGATATTCAATTTCAAGGACATATCGGATCGGCTAGGCTGAGTTGGATCGATCACGATGGTTTACGAAAATTACGATCTAATGCTTGCATATTCTCCGCGTCCCAACAGATTCACCATAGATTACCTGTTGCACACTCGTTGGTTCTACAATATTGTGCACATTTCTTCAGGAGCATGACGCTGCGCAAGTCTCATGAATTCGAAGGAGAAAAGTTGTAGTTAGGTCTCGTAGCTGCACATGTCCCGTATAGAGTCTCAGTCAGCCGACTCCCGGGTCGACTCCCCAGTCTCTCCACCACCGGGCCGCGTCAGGATGGCCGCCGTTGTGGTTCCGGTCCGACCAGTCTTCTTCTTCGCGGCCTCCTCTTGCTTCTCTGTCTCTATGCTCTTGACGTAGGCCTCGATCTGCTCGTCAGGCAACATCTCGATCGTCTTGCCGGGGGCCATGATAGCCACCTCGATGTTCTTGGCGCCGGTCTGCACCACCTCCAGCAGCGACTTGATAGTAAGGAGGATCGTCTGTTCCCGGTCCATATCGTCTTGGTGATTCCGCTCAAGAAACTCGCGCACGGTCTTGCTGGAACGACCAATAGCATTTGCTTTCCTGTAGAGCAAGTAGCCAAGTCAGCAACGTCCCTGACCCAACCAAGGTCAGTCGCCTCAAGCCAAGAAGCCACATACCAAGCAGAGTAGATCCCCGAAGGCTCGGTCATGTATAGTCGAGGTACATTATCATTGGGATCAAATCCTACAACCAGAGTACTGATACCGAAAGGCCGGACACCGCCGCTCTGCGTGTACCGCTGCTGCACACTAGCAATGTATTTGGTAATGTATTCGATGGTAACGGGGTCCTCGACGGTCAGTCTGTGCGACTGGGCTTCTAATCTGGCCTTGTCAATGAGAATACGGGCGTCGGCGTTCAGTCCAGCAAAAGCGAGAACGGCGTGATTGTCCAGTTGGGCAATCTTCGACGGTGTGATGCGGGTATCTTGAAGCTTAAGGGCAGACCGCTTCTCGCAGCCCAGGACGACGACATCTTTGCCTTTTACTCCGACAGCGCAGGTTCCTGTTCAGCGCGGAGATCGGTCAGCGTGAGATTGAACAGAATGAAGTTTGGGAGCTTCAGAAGGCAGATTGACCTACCTCGCTTCACAGCTTCCATGGCATATTCCACCTGGAAGACGTGCCCGTCGGGGCTGTTACTATGGTCAGAAAGCCGCTTCTAAAGCTCTAACGTATAACAGAGCATACCTGAACACTGTATCTCTGTCAGAATAAGCTGTCCTCTAGACCAATGATGCAAGAAGCTAGGGTAGCTAAGCTGCCTTACCTGAAAGAGCTCGGTCATATCCGGACATTGTGGGCTGTGAGAAGTGCTGCGTCTAGAGGAGATAGGTACGGAGTGAAAGAAATGTGATAGATAGGGTTGGTGAGGACGTAAGTGGATAGCTCGTAATGTTGTTCGCTGAATGCTGAGGATTGTATCTCTGACCTTGGGGTGATGACGGATGGAGGTGAACGCGAGTCCCGCGGTTGCCTCAGAGCTCCCAGACGCTTGGCGCGCGGCTATTTGCTACATCGACCAAGCTTCCATGACACAGTTATATGACAGTCCAAACTCATTAAACAGCCATTCTATTCTTATTCCTCCGTTTGAAATAATGATGCTACATATAATGCAAATGCTTGGAACAGCTGATTGCCAGCCCAGACAATCGTGCTTCTACCTTTATTGCATCAGATCGTGCTGGTGCCAAACTAATCCTCAAGAGTTGGTTTACAGCATAACATCGACTTTTCATATTGTAAACAATGTTGGCCAAAAGACAACATGAGGGGAACAGAGGAATTATAGACATATAGAACAATCTTCTTGCACTCGCAATACCCGATCTTTGTGCCTCACATGTGTCCCAAATGTGTTGAAATTTTGCTGACGCAGAAGAAATACCCCAACACCCCCAACGAGAGTCCATCCCATTGTATCCCATCCGTAATCAATACCATGATTCTCCAGTAATTCCGAGTGCAGAAGAAACAGCAATATCTAGAATGCAATGCCAAGTTTGAGCGTCCACCACTGGTTGCAATGCTCGAGCGAAGTCATGCGGTTGGAGAAGAAAAGAAGCTCCGTCGAAAGATGCCCCATGAGAAGAATGCGCGAAGCTCAAACCGACCCAAAGTGAAGGATGATGATCAAAACCAGTCGAAGGACAATCGACGAATAAAAGCGCCCCTTGCCCATCTGCCATTGACTGTACCAAAGACAGTTCTCTATACCCTCAAACATCGCTTCCAAAGACGCAATAGTAAAACATGCCGAAAAGTGGTGGACCAGAAAGGCTGCGAGACAATGTGAAAGATCAACAAAAACAAACACGAGGATGAAACGACGACACGCTACCAGCCTGCTCCTCCCAACCAATGCACCAGAACTGCAGATTCCCTTATACAAACGCGCATTCAACGAATATCAACCGTTACATATACCAACAGACTCAGACCTCCATATTGACAAACCACTGAGGCAATGGGGAATCGGGCTGATGAGAAACCATCTGTGGTCTCGTCGTTACCCCAAAGAGGGTGTACCCGCTTTATTTAAGCAGGGGACTTGCTGGCGCCGGTGCCATTACGACGGGAGTGGGCATCGTCAGATACGGTCAAGCCGCCCAAGCCAGTTGAAAGGAAGGCAAAAGGATCATTTGATCCGTCTGTCGCATAGAATCCGCCATTCGAGGCGCTCGTCGAGGTGGTGTGATCAGCTCCACTGAAAGCAGCCTGGGTGGCGGGGTTGGAGAAAGACGAGGTGCTGTGCGAGGCATTGGTGGAGCCATAGCCGGCATTCATCTGACCCATTGGTGGATAGGCCCCAGGGGCGCTACCAAGACCGGAAGGCAAAGCATAGTTGTTGGGGGCGCGGCGAATTGCTGGTTGAAACCACCAAATCCACCGGCTGCCGAAGTAAAGGGACCAGGAGCAGGGGTGCTGGTCATGGAGTTAGGGCCCATTCCGAACCCAGCCGGAGGCTCCATGGGGGAGGGGAACGCAGAGTCAGCAACAACTGCGGCCCCAGAGCGAGGAGCACCGCAACGCAAGCAGTTGATGTTCTTGGCGAAGTTGTGGTAGCCACAGCCCTCAGAACCGCACTTCCAATCACCAGCACGGAAGGGAACCACACCACCATTTCCACCCATACCACGAGGGTGGCCCATTCCGTGGCCATGGCCCATGTGCGAGGGCACCATGGATGGGGGACCGTAGCCGTAAGCTCCATACCCCATCGGGTCAGGAGCCGCAGCCATTGCGGGGAACGAGCAGCGGAAGCAAGCCGTACGGCGCTGGAAGTTGGAGAAGCCACAGGAGGGGCAGGTCCAATCGCCGGGTCTGGGACGGTTTTTGGACGGCGGGAAGGGAGTCAAGATCTCAGCAGCACGGTCCAGGACACGACTGGATGAGGGTGAAACCTCGATGGCCTTCTCGTTCAAGGCGCGGCCGTTCATACAGAGGCTTTCAGCAGCCTACCATCCAGTGTCAGGATCATGCAATAGACAAAAGAGGGAGAAGCTGAAGAGTACATACCTCCTCGTGGGAAGAGAAAACGGCGAAGCCCGTGCCAGTGGGCTTGTGTTGATCCGGCGTCCGGAGAGTCCAGAAGGCGATCGGGCGACCACCGAACTGAGTAAACCAGCTCTCCAATTCCGACTGTGTAGTGTCGTGGGGCAGACCACTCAGATGGAGAACCTTGCTGCGCTCTGTCAAGAAGGCACGAACATCCGCTCTGGCATCCATGGGTCGAGTCAAGATCTCCGGGTGCTCGTGTGGCGGCTGCGACTTTCGAATCAAGCCGCGGAGAACGCGAGCCAAAGTGATGGCCTCCTCCATTGCCCGGCGGGGAGAGGCGGGGGCCAATGCCTGAAGGTGGAACGGGAGGTTATGCTTGATCGGAGCAGAGGACTGGACAGGTTCAACTTCAAGCGCAGCGCAGATGTTGGAAAGCGAGCTGGGGCCGAAAGGGAGAGACTCGGGGTGATGGGTCTGCCATCTCTGGTACTCGGTGCGGAGGTCAAAGGTCCGTGAGTGCTGAAGATATGGGGGAAGAACGACAGCCTTGTCACGAGCCTCACGGGGCAGCTGCACTCGGAGATCCCACGAATCCAACGTCACAAAGGCGAATTCGAGATTCTTGCTGATGAGGTGTTCCTGGGCAAAGGCATCGAAGCGGTTGATTGCGTCACGGAAGGTACCTGCCGAGCGGACGTGTTCCCATGTCAGAGTTGTAAGGCTTGCTGTCAGACACTGTCAGCCATTGAACCAACAGACTGATGCATCCAGTGAATGGGAACGGTGTAGGAGCAGGGGGTCGGAAATTCAAGAAGAACGCGTGTTCGGTTGAAATTGGGTAGATGGATAGATTAAAAAAAAAATAAGAACCACTTACTGCAGAGAGGCGTAATAGGAGTGTTGACGGGCTTGACGAGAACACTTTCGCGATGAAGCTAAGGAGGGAACAAAAGTCCAAGTCAGCGACAGGCGGACGAACAGCGGTGGTGGTGGCCTAGGCACTGAGAGGGGAAAAGGGGAGTGAGGCGCAAAGAGGAGGGGGGAGGGAAAAAGGCCGAGTGTTGTTGATTCAGAAAAATAGAGCCTACCTCCTCGCAGGTTTTGGTATCCAACAGAATCCACCCCAATTCGATCACTTCTGCAGAATCTTTGGTGACGTAGACGCCATGTTCATCGCAAGTGGTTGCGACGTGGATGACAATGTAGCGATCCAGCTTAGGGGTAGGTGCTGAGACGGTTGCCATCGCTCAGATTGTTGTCTTCTTTCCACTCTCACTGCCAACGGAGCGGCGAGGGAAAGGGGACGGGACGGGAGTGAATTGGGGAACGTAGTGGGCAAAAAAGTCTCTGCAAAGTTAAGCAGAGGACCTTAAATCACGACCAGATAAACTGTCGTGATTTAAGATGCGAACAAAAAACAAAAAAAATAAGAAAATGAACAAGCGGAAAAAAAGGACAGGAAAGTGAAGGGTAAGGAGAAGGAGGATTGAGGGGAGGGGAGATTGAGAGGAGAGAGTGAGAGCGAGAGGTGAGAGAAGGGAAGAGAAAGGCCCCAGGCCAAGCTAGTAGCAGTTGGTCAAGGTACCTTAGTTAAGGTAGGTAGCCTGTAGTAAAGGACCAGTCCGTTTGGTGGTTTCTTAGTGGTGTGGTGGAGCGTCGGGATTAAATAAAAAAAAGAAAAGTTTCGCGTCTGAGGGGAAAGACAGTGGAGATAGACCGGTGACAGCAGACACACATGGATAGATAGACTACTGGAGCACTTAATGACAGAAGTCAGAAATGCAGCTATAAGGATCAGAATGGAAGTAATCAGGAATCCCAATTCATCTAGATACGCTATGAGATACTATTTTTATCTTGTGGTCCTAGGAAGTTATAATCTTGCGAAGAAAAACATGTAGATTAGAATGATTGGAATGGCCTACCTAGTTTTCCGTAAGCTGGACAGGTATTTATTTCTCTTATTTCTACTCCATATTATTGTCAGCACCAGAGACACAATATCCCTAGTAAGATGAGGGGTTGGCGACTGCTGTTCATTAATGAGTAGGGAAGGTTGTCACTATGTGACTGACATATGCAAGAGCAATTGTCCCGAGCCATTACTAAACAATCTGCATCTCTCTTTCTGTGGTTATAAGCCAGAATAGCTGGATCTATGGTTCCTGGTCTTTTCAGCTGTTATCATGCCACAGTCTTCCTCCCAGACTGTCAATGGTACAGCGTCAATGCAGATTCTAAAGAACTGGAATATTGGTACTGATACTTTACAAATCAAAGACCAGCTATCTTATCAATCTCAGATTCCACGTCCATCACTTCCTGTTGCGAGACCACCTGGACAGTCACATACTTTCTGATAGGAACCATGCTTCTTCACCAGCTGCTGCAGACATTTCTTCCTAGCATTTTCATACAGCATCTGAGGTTAGGGTCCTTGAGAACTGAATGACAATCCTACAGTCTGGGGAGAAATCACACTTGAAATGCCATTAGGAATCAGAAATAGACCTGTCTTTCTATCTATCATCAATTATCCACGTTTACATGCAATTGTTTCTCGATCACTGTCGATTGGGAGACAGAGAGGGCAAATCTCTGAAACAAAACTATCCGGTATCGTGTCTTCACGACAGTAAATGTCGCATGTTCACAATGCGTTAGATTTTAATGTGGAGTACCTCTACACCTATTCAGCTCAGCGATGGATCTGGAATGAAGAACAGCAGCTGCGAAACAGATACGTTTCATTCGATCTTGATGCTCTAGTTCGAAGTTGCGCAGGGAGCTGCCGGACACAATGCAGTTTGCATCACCGTCTCGAAGCTACCAGAGGCAAACTTCAACAAGGCTTTTCCTGTTCCCATGCAGGACGGACTGGACCTAGTTGTTAAGATCCCAAATCCCTAACGCAGGAGCTAGCCACTATAGTACTGCGTCCGAAGTGGCAACGATGCAATATGTGCGAAACCCCAGTTTCGAACGGAGCAAACAGTCAAATAAAAATAGCTCAGTTAAGCTAACATCTTGAAAGGCAAGGGGGAATCTTCAACTTCCTGTTCCTAGAGTCCTTGCATATTGTTCCCGGAATTGTTGGGAGCAAGCTAGGCTCAGAGTATCTCATCATGGAGAAGGCCAAAGGTATCGAGCTTGGTCGCATGTGGGAAATCCTGGAGCCGCGGGACAAACTGCCTATAACGAAGCAGACTGGTTCCATCACTCCCACACTCTCTCGGGCAAAGTTCCCATTTCACGGGTCATTATACCACTGTCAAGACATCTCAGTCCGAAAGTATCAAAATCGATGATACTTTCGCAATCGGACCGACAACAGGGCGAGCGTGGTTTGATGACAGAAGAGGGGGAGTCGATGTGCATAGGGGACCCAGTAAGGTATCTCGTCTCTCTAACTACGTGCTAGTTAGGCTGATGTCATCTCCTACCAGAAGACGGTGCACTCAATATGGGCGTAATCTGGCACAATGACCTACACACAGGTAACATTTTTCGTTGACAAAGACAACCCTACCCAAATAACCAGCATCATCGACTGGCAAGCAGTTCCTATTTATCCGATTTTTCTTGTCGCCCATCATCCGTCTCTCATAGAGTATGACGGTCCGAAGCCAGAGCGGTTCATTCAGCCTAGTCTGCCAGAGGATATCGAAGAGTTTAATGTCCAAGATAAAAAGGCTGCCAAGGAGCTATTTCTTGGGCAGACACTCTGGCTTTACTATGAGACGCAAGTCTGTAAAGAAGCCTCAGATCTGATTTGCGCATTTGAGTACCGCAAATCTTTGCAGTCTGAGATACTAAGTCTAATCGGCTCGATATTTGACGATGGGGAGCCGCATGTCCAAAGGCTCCTTGCGGATGTCACGAAATATGGTATACGGAAACAGCTGGTCGGGGAGGATGATCACGGCAATCCAAGTGTACCATGTCCCCTGAGCTTCACAGAACATGACCTGGAGAAACAGATGGAGGAGTACGCCGAATGGGGGAGGGACATCGAGGAGAGATCACGAGTGATTGACAAAATAGGGGTGTATACAGGCTGGAATGGAGCTGTATCTCCTGGCGATTATGATAAAGTTGTCAGGCGAGTTGAGCTTGTCAAAGAAAGGTTTTTTAGATCGAGAATCGACAACTCCAGAGGAACGTGTGGTGTGAGAGAAGTCATGGCCTTTTTGAGGATAAGCCCAGAGGACACTGATCTACTTGTAATAAGAACAGGTTCCCTCCCCCGCTCATGTCTTCGCTGCTTCCCCGACAGGTGATGGCCAGGGTCGTAGAGCTAATCGAACAGTCTTAATAGCCAATAAAAGATCAACATATGGCCTGATGGGGAATCTGAAAGTAAAAGTACGACTGTAGACAGTTCCAAATAGTCGGCGACCTTCGGTTGATACAATTAATAAGGTGGATGTGATGATATTACTAGACAGTACGCCATCCTATCATAGAGAAGTAGTAGTCTAGGTAGCAAACAGGTTTCAATCCTGGTCTTTAGTCTCAATAGAAAGTACGTACCTGAGAGCTAACTAGACCACTAGAAGGAATGCCCTTTGTATATGTTATAAGTGTAAGAGGTATTTATCCTGACCTGTCAGAAGAAAGATGATCGCAATACAAAAACTGGAATTATGGATAGATACATAGAGCAATCAAGACAAGAGACAACATCCATGAATCCAATCTTAATGCAATCTCAGTGACAGCAACGAGATGTAGACAGGCGAAATCTTATTATTGGACAACAAGTCGGAAAAGACCTGTCAACCCATCCTCATGCCATTGAGACAGTTATATTCCGATAATCAAGGTTATTTACAGTCAATTAAGCGCAGCCTACGTACCTCTTCCACAAGAAGATCCAATTCGCAGTGTCTCTCGACTGTACCTTTCACTGCTTGGGTCGGCCAGTCTCGTATCTGAGGGACACCTTCGTGTCTTTTCTTTTGATATTGGCGCAATCGTATTTCATTTGTAGTCAGCATTCACCGTACGAGTGACTAGGTCATCAAAGGTAGATCATCCCAGAAACCAAGAGGTGCAATAAATTGGAATGAAGCGGCGTCAATCATATACACCAATAGACCAAATCAATAATTACATGAAACCTCATAACCATGTCATAACCCATCCCGTTCTCAACCCATGACCATCATTCAACGCCGGCAACAGAAAGAAATGAATCAAGCACCAGGGGCTTACGCCCTCAGTCGTCATGAGCTTCAGACTTGATGATCGTTCCTCGACTGTCATCGTTCTCATCCTCCTCCATAATGCTGGGCTCTACTGAGAACATCCGCCGGCGTTTGCCTGGGTGCTCAATGGATGGCCGGACACTGCCAGAGCGGATGCTCATGGCATCACTTTCGGGTTCCTCGGTGCCTTCGCGCGGCCTGACACTGTCGGACCTGGTGCCTTGCGCAGCTGCAAGAAGCTTGAGAACAGCATTCTTGACCTTCACAAGCGCATTTCGACCCGCTGCTTCAGCCGCGACACCCTCTTGGATGGCTTCATCCAGTAATTCCTTGACTTCCTGGGCAAGAGCCACATTCTCAGGGGAGATTTCGCCCCGCTGGCACTCTGGGTGCTGGAGCGGAATTGATCGTCGCCTTCAGGCATCCTAGACCCAGATCGCGAAGGCACCACAGGAGGCGAGATATAAAGCTTACTCAACAATGAGAATAGAAGCTTCTTTTCCTCCTTGGAGCACCGGTTGGGACCGGTGCTAATCCCCAGAACGCGCTCCAGAATATCTTTCACCAGGGCCAAGTGTACGAATCCACAGGGGCTGGAGCTCGTCGGAACGCCCGCAAGGATCTTCTCTCCTCCCAGGCCCACGACCCTCCGCTCATCCGTCCATTCCGCAAGCATGCCCACGACACCTGCCATCAGTGCCTTCAGCTCCCTCTGTCCAACAGTCTCATCAATCTCGCCATCACTATCTTCCTCGGCTTCTAGGGAGTAGTACTCCTCCGCCGCATTGAGAACCGCACGGATAACGGGAACGGTCACCTTTCGCATGTGCTGGGTATTCTCCAAGCGGGAATGGCAGTAAACAGGGAAGAAATAGGCCAACGCTTGTCTAAAGGCCGGGTTCTCCCGAGTACGAGGGTGGAAGAAAGACACAATGAGCGATTGCAAGACGGTCTCCACAGCGGACTCGTTGTACTCCTGGATGGCCTGTGGGATGTTGGCTCCAGACGGTGTAAAAGTATTAGTGAGCAACAACTTTGAAAGGCCGGTGGCGGCAGCGGCCTGGACACTGTTCGCAGAGCTAGCCTTCAGAGCTCTTGCAAAGACCTTGAGCAGTGGCTTCTGGAATGCTGGCGGCGACACGGTTTCCCCGTCAGACTGTGGGACAGGAGCGAGTAGCGAGGGATGCGTCGTTATCATGTCACACAAAATGTGTAAGGCGGTAACCTGCAGGGCTTCGTGGCCTTTGCTGTAACAGTGGATGAAGAGCGTCATATTCTCTTCGGCGAGAGTCTGGGAACCGGGAAAGTAATGAGTCAGCACGTTGTTGGGGAAATACGTTGATGTATAGAAAACTCACCTTGTCCAACAAGCAGCAGAGACCAAGGCACACTAGACCTCTTTCACGGATCGGAGCCTCGTGGCTTCGAACCGCTGGCACGACCAAATTGTTGAGCATAGTAACCAGGTTCATGTTCTGTTGCAGATTGCCTTCCACGTTTTGCAACATACATTGGGCAATATGCAGACATTTCATATTGACCACGATCTCGCGCAGAACTTTGGCCTTTGCCTCCTCCTTATTAAAGGGTACTTCAGCTTCACTATCTGCCGGGGTTTCAGACCGTTGGCGGCTGGAGGTCGCATCGCTGATTTCAGACTTGGCCGAAACAAAACTATCTTCGGTCACAATAGTGTCATGGACTTCGGCAATAGCTTCGAGAACAACACTGCAGAATTCACTCTCAGCCGCAGCAGCTGGTCCGCACACACATCTCAAAGTCTCGACAGTGAGCTTAGTACACTCTTCAGGTAGCTCGGGCACGGCTAGCGACTCGCGAAGGAGAGAGAACATTTTCCGGCGGCCGACCTCGTCACTGTAGTCCAGTGTGATGGCGATATGTAATAGTTGTTCAACGATAAATTCGTTCTCAACCGTGTCGTCGTCGTTTGCTTCACTAGTATCCTTGGCCATTTTCTTCCTTTGTAGAAGCTCGGTCATGTATTTTTTCAGAAAATGCGCGAAGGCTGTCACCTCAGGTATCTTCTCGTCGGCGAGACTATCGAACTTTCCTTCGTTCTCGACACGGCAGAAATCGTTAAAGGATCGTAGAAGAAAGGCTGACTCGGCCGTCAAGGATTCCCAGAACGGCTCATCAAAAACAATCGTCTCTCGATAGTCGGGGCGGCCCTCCCAGAAACTGCGCATGGCCTCGTGCGCGATTCCGGAGTCCATCCCAGAGCTGACGACGTCAATTCTTTCCAACAACTCCAGCAGTGCCTCGATGTTTGGGGGAGAACGCTGGGTGGAAGGACCATTCTCGGAATCGTTGGTTGTGCCAGCGCAGTCTTCAATCCAGCGGTCGTAGAACAGCTTTCCAGTGGCCTTTCGAACACTTTCATCTCGGTCTCGAAGGCCCCAGCGAAGCAGTTTCTCTCTCATGGAAAGCGACAAATGGCGGAAGTCACCAAGGGTGGGGAGTAAGCGGGAGTATAAGGCTCGTCGGGTAGTTGCTTCGAGATCTCGAGCACGTTCGAGCAGATAAGGGAGAGTTGCGGGCACTAGAGGCAGATTGAGCAACAGGGTCTTCCGCACTTCAGCACTTGTGTCATTCTGCATAATGTCAATGAGCTTTTCCAGGAGGGCTTTGGAGCTATCGTCGTTATCATCGTCGTCTTCTTCTTCGTTTCCTGCCAGGCGCCCAAGCCCCAGCACAGCTTGTACCCTCACTGAGGGCTCCTTGTCTCGAATTCGTTTCAATAGTCCTTGTCGAATGGTATGGTAGAGATCATCATCGATTGTTTCGAGGGAGTTGACAATGTGGGTGACAATTTGTGTCGCGCGAAAACGCACGATCTTGTCCTTTGCCGCCAACAGCGGCACAACAACGCTGATCAGATGAGTCGCCAGTCGGGCAGTTGGGGTCTCGATGATATTTTGCATGTCATCGTCGTCATTTCCGGCGGCGAAGATTTCGGTATCTTTCTCAGTCGCATGAGATAGAAAAGTTCCAACAAACCGCAGAATTCGATCGCCAACCGGCTCGGTCTTTTTTATCGGCAGTATGCGCAGCAAACAGCGACCAACCTCTACGTTGAACTCCTTCTCCGGAATGGTTTCTTCGCTCGGCAGTAAAAGCTCCTCCTGAGCCTCAGGGTTCTTGCCGTCCTTCTTCGTCTTCTTCGCAGAAATTCCGCAGCAAATCTCCTGCAGCTTCCTTAATCGCACCACAAGCTTCCGGTGACCGGTCGTTGAACGCTGGGCGTCAGCAAAAATCAAACAAACATCGCGACGTAGGTTAGGCGACGCTTCGGGCGGCGCAGGTTCCTCTGGAATCACAAAGGACGGGGTCACAGACGCGGCGCGACCTCCTGATGCTGAGGGCTGAGCCGACGACCTGCGTGTCGGCGCAGAGGTCGAACGGGCGGAAACTCGACCAGGCATCTCTGGTTAATACTGAGGAACGGCGTGGAATTCTGTCAAATTAAAAAGACTTAGGTCATCTCAGACAGTCACTTGCATCTCATTTATTGCTGTATTGTATTAGTTGTGTGCCTGGATACGAATCCTGCTCAAGATGGACGTCGTCTTTCAGCAGCGCGGAGGTACCACTCCCAACGCAGATCGCTGTCACGGGGCCCAAAGGATAAACAAACAGCCCAAACGGGAAGCACTAAGATAAGGGCTAGGGCTCTGGGCACGTGGTTTCCATACATCTACGGATTTGGAGGTGTACAAACATCAATCTACCTGAACGACCACATAGCCACGAAACAGACTGCTTTATGTAGGTTCTTCTCGTATCAGTATCAGTTATATACGAACTCGTGTTATATTGCGAAGACCAACTCGACAGAAGAGGAAATGGCTGGCTCCATACGCCCAACTACTCGTTACAAACCTCATCACGCCATCGTTCACGTGACCGAAGGTGACTAATGCCGATCCTCGGTGTCCGAGAATCTGGGGTTCTTATACTCCCAAGTCATTTCGTCTTTCTGCGGCCTGCATACCGTTGACGGGTGTTCTGGAGGTACCTGTGGTCTAGTGGGAAGCATGTTTCGACAAGGTGTGCGCCGGTTTGGCACAACTGCCCTCCGCGCCGTGGAGGCATCGACCGCTTACCATGAGCGGGTATCCAGAGCTCAGGGCGTCGTGAACGGGTTGACAGAAGGTACAGTATACGCAATGGACATTCACGGTGATAGAGCAATTGCAGTTTGCTAATCAGCCTCTGTACCTGCAGCTATTGGAAACACCCCTCTCATCCGACTGAAGCGACTTTCTGAGGAAACCGGACGCAATATCTTCGGCAAAGCCGAGTTCCAGAACCCCGGTGGTAGCGTCAAGGACCGTGCTGCGCTATTCGTTGTCAAGAATGCAGAAGAGAAAGGACTTTTGAAACCAGGCGGTACAGTTGTTGAGGGGACAGCTGGCAACACCGGTATTGGTTTGGCGCATGTGTGCCGATCCAAAGGCTACAGGCTTGTCATCTACATGCCCAACACTCAGTCGCAGGGTAAGATCGACCTGCTACGTCTTTTAGGTGCCGAGGTCTATCCTGTACCTGCTGTTGCATTCGACAACCCTCAGAATTACAACCACCAGGCGCGCAGACATGCGGAGTCGCTGGAAAATGCTGTATGGACAAATCAGTTCGACAACATCGCCAACCGCCAGGCCCACATTGAGACGACTGGACCCGAGATCTGGGCTCAAACTGATGGAAAGGTCGATGCCTTCACATGCGCTACTGGAACAGGAGGCACTCTGGCTGGTATCACACGATACCTCAAAACCGCCAGCAATGGCCGCGTGAAGTGCTTCCTTGCCGATCCTCCAGGCAGTGTTCTCCACAGCTACATCCAGAGCGGCGGAAACCTGATCGAGCGCAGCGGAAGCAGTATCACAGAGGGCATCGGTCAGGGTCGTGTCACCGACAACCTGAAGCCCGACATGGATCTGCTCGACGGGTCGCTCACCATCAGCGACGAAAAGTCCATTGAGATGGTTTACCGCTGCCTTGATGAGGAGGGACTCTACCTGGGCGCTAGCTCCGCTCTCAACGTCGTCGCCGCCAAGGAGGTCGCTGAGCAGCTCCCCAAGGGTAGCAATGTGGTGACCATTTTGTGCGATGGAGCCTACCGGTATGCTGACCGGCTTTTCTCCAACACCTGGCTTCAGAGTAAGGGCCTCAGGAGCTCGATTCCCAAGCATCTGGAGAAATATGTTGTGTTGCCATGATGGCTGTATGTATAGTTATTAGACCAGTGCTATATACTTACGATTTACGTTACAGCTTTTACCAACTGTCCTTCTGTCAATCAAAGAGTCTGCCTGGCCATAAAACTCTGGGCTCTTACACTAAATGATTGTCAGATTCCGCGCTCGCCCGTACCCATTATACCCGACACCCCTCAGGTTCCACTGTGAATGTTCTACCTGTACATTGCCACCAGCATCAAAAGCTCTGCTCAAGACTTCCCTCCCTGTTCCTACTTCAGGACACACAGCTGCAGTCCACAACACCCAGCACCATCGCCTATTCCCCTGCCCAGCTTCGTCAATCTTGGCATCTATCCACGTTCTCCCTCCATCCACTGAAACCTGCACACGAGTAACCGGTCCATCCGCACCATGCGGAACAGCATACCCCTTTACCTCCATAACCCCAGAACTCGACAAAGCAACAGTCGCATTATCTTCCGGGACCGCGACAACAGAGTTGATAGGCATATCAGACATGGGGGGCGTCTGTGCCCAAAACGGCTGCGCTGACTCCTGATCGACCGCCGACGGCGGCAGGACCTTGTAATCATGCTGCTGGTAGAAATTCGGCGACTCATGGTCCGAGACCGTGATGCGATCCAGCCACTTCACCCATCTCGCGCCGACAATCCCAGGCAGGATAACTCGCACGGGATACCCGTGGTTCACGGGTAGCGGAGCATCATTCACCTATTTCATCGTCAGTCTCACTTTCAAAAATGCCAAAAAGGGAACGAGAGGAAAGTGCACCTGCAGAGCAAGAATGGCATCCCCATCCTCCCTCAAACACCGTTCCAGCGGTACACTCGCCCCAAACCACTCATCCTCCTGACACTTCACCTGATAGCACGAAAACTCCACATGCAGACCTTTCTCGTCCTCCCTAACCCCCGCGCGCAGCAACACATCGCGTAACCTCGGCCCCCTCCATTTACAATTCATGACAGCCGCATCCCCCAATCGATACCCTGCACTTCCTTGAGCATCGTGCGCATCGTGTGCCGCCTGTTCCCGGCGCATTCGAGCGCGCAGACTACTTCATGTTGCGGGAATTCGTTCGCGAGCTGCTGGATAGATAGACTGAGAGGGGTTGAGACTAGGCCGTCGATGTGCACTTTATGGGAGTCTGCTGAGAGATGCGGGATGGGGCCGTGGTTCCGATCGTAGGATATATCAGCCGGTGTTAGGAAGCTGTATACTTTTAGTATTATCCTTATTCTTATCCGGCTATTGTACTACGATGACTGTCGAGGATGGAAACATACCTCGCGACGAGTTGCTTGGCGGGTGGCTCCCGGTTCAGTGGCTTGTCGACGGAATACTCGACTTGCTACTCCGTAGATCGAGTTAAGATTGGTCGGGTTTAACAATCTTGAGACTTACCGTACTGGTCATCTTTTAAATTGCTAGCAGGCGCAGTCGACGTCTCAAAATCGATGTGTCTGTGTGTGGGTTGCGGATGTTGTGCAAAGTATATATAATATTGCCCCCTACGTCATGGGTGAAGCAACCATGCATCTCGTGGGGCAAAGAGAATGTCATGTTACCCAGAGGTATATGATCAATTTGTTCTATTATGTTTCTATACAACCCTTGAGATCAGAGCTGATATCTATTTACTTCTTTACTTCTTAAAGATTGCCATCATTTGCCATCATTCAACAGGAGAGTTCAAAAGTAGCGTAGCGGTTAGCCATGCAGATCGGAGTATATGCCTGTATCCTGTATCCACACCTCTATAACCATATCACGTATTGTACATCGGAGTCGCGAGTCGCACCCATGCTATACAGCCATCGCCCACTCAAGATCTAACATATGCACAAAGTGCAGAAGCGGAGTATATGCACGCGGACAAGCAGCATCAACGAAACCAAAAAACCCCAAGAACGCCGACGATGCTGCCCATATCTATCCCATCAAATCAAAAATTTATAAGGAAAACCCAACGCCGCGCCAATGTTTATACACGTTTCGCAAAGCGACCATCTGTTCAAACCAGAACAGCGACACCGCAGCAAGCGAAGCAAGCGGCGCTACTCCTCCGACGGCATCCTCATATACGCATCAATCGCCGCACTAAACGCCGCAAAACCAACACAGCCAGCAGCCGCCGCCTGCGGGCCCGCCTTCGCACCAAGGATCCCGCCCGTGATGCAGCCGGCCGCCACGCTGTTGGTGAGGTCGTTCTTCGCGCGCAGGCCCTCAATGCAGCACTCCGTGCCAGCGTAGAGAGCACCGACGATACCAAAGTTCTTGGCGGAGGACCAGGAGCGGGCGCCCATGTCTTTGAAGCCGCGGCGGAGTTGTTCGCGCCAGGGGAGGTCCGAGAGGGCGGCTCCTTGAGGGGTGAATGCCGAGTCGTAGGACATCTATAGAAGTAGAGCATGTCAGACACCTGTTTTCCGTAGTTTAGTTTGGGACTATGGACACATACACTAGCCATGAACAAGCCGAATGCACCGCCCAGCGCAAAACCCATTGTACCGGAGATGGCGGTCTTGACGGGACAGGATTCCATTGCAGCGTGCATCTGTGTTTTATGTTAGCCGGTACTTTAATAGGATTGATGTCGGAGATACGAACCGCCTTGACCATTGCCTGCTCCTGGTCACTCATGCCCTGCATATTGTTTGCTCCTCCCATACCGCCGATGGGCGGAGTCATTCCTGGGAAATTCATGTTGGGTTGGGAAGGAAGGTGTCTCGGCGTAGAAACTGCCGAGTGCTGCAATGTATGCGAGAAATCCTGCTAGTAGAATTTACGCAAGGAAAGTAGAAAAGCAAGTCGCTAATTGGAAATCAAGTCGCTGGCTCCAGATAATCAGCTCGGACATTTTGCGGAGATGGCGAAAACAAATTTATTTTACGGCGGAGCAAAGCGGCCAAAAGTGCAGTTTATCACATGACTGTGTACTATGTTCGGCTTCAGAAATTGTCAGGACGTTTATGGAGCTGGAGAAGAATTTGGCTCTAATGCATGTAATTGCAAATTTATAGAAATATAAAAGCAAGACATATATATACATAATATCCTCGTACATAATCCGTGTCGGAAAAGGGCTTCATCAAACAACGTTTTGGAACTGGAGAAAAGAAGAAAAGAAGTCATAGAATGGCAAATCCACGAAGGGGAAGAAAACGCTGTGGTCGTGAGGGTATTCAAACGATAATCGTAGCCCTGCGTTACTTTGTACTTGGTCCATGCAATCCAGCCCGGTAGAGTGCATGTCCATATATGTTTGTATTTACAGTGTAGCCTGAAGGAAAAAAGAAACATGTATCAGGTCAAGGGTCATGGAGTAGGACAGTCCCACGGACGAGTTCAGTCTTTTTTATCGTCCTTATTGAGCGGCGGGGAGCTCGTTTGATTCTTTCTTTCAGGTGACGGTGAAAGACTGCGCTCCCACTCGGCCATCAAATTGGATGCCGTCCGCGTGAGCTTCGAGGGAGCGAATTTGGTGATTGCAGGCCAGGGAATGCCATCTGATACGCTGGGGTCCGGGACGAAGTCATCCTGCGTGGCGCGCCAGTCTCCAAAGCTAATCCAAGTCAGCGCATATCAATCAGTCAGACTGCGAGTTTCAAGCCTGGTGCAATTCAAATAGCATACCTGCCGCTTGTACGAGGGCTACTGTTCTGTGTCACCGGAGACTGGTCGTGCTTGGACTCCAGCGTGGAGCGGCTCGAAGAAGGGGTATGCGTCTTCTTGGGCTGGGGAGTATCCCAGTCATCCCAGTTCTCTTCAACGTCGAGATTGTTGGAGGTTTCTTGTTCGGTCGCCCCGCGTGGGGTATTTGAGGCTCCGCGAGCTTTCGTGGACTTCTGCCCAGCTGTATCAATGCCGAATTCACTCCAGAACGACACGTCTATGTCCGCCGATTTAGTGTCTTTACCAGATAATTGTGTCCCTGCCGCCTTGCCCCGCGAGGACGACGGTGACCGCGATGATTTGCCTCCATGCACCGACAAACGGTCTCTGCTTCGAGATGCGGAGCTGAAATCTCGTTTCCGCGCGGGCGGCACTCCTCTCGACTGAGTGGCATTGATTCCCTCTTCTCCCACGGTGGCCTGTCGAATGTCCTCCAGGAACGTCCACAAGCCTTCTCTCAGATCGGAAGCCATCTGCTTGCCGGTACGCACAAGTGCCTCCCGAGACGGGGGCGGCATCGTCCTCCGCCACTGAGAGATCATATCCTCTGTAGGCCGTTCGTTCATCTCGGTCGTTGCAGCACGTTCAACAGAAGGCAAGGTCGCCGACCGCGGCGTCCGGGTCGCACGGTTGCCGTCCACATCAGCGCCAAACTGCTGGTTGACACCAGGACCATTAACGGGCGAGAGCAGCGACAATGCCCGCGTATGAGACCCCTGGAACACACGCCGTCCATTCGCAGATATCGCGGTGCCACCATTTACACTCGCTCGTAGGCTTTGGCGCCGCTCCAGATCGCGGCTGCGCCGAGTCTGCACGGCCGAAGAGCCATCCGCTGTGCCTGCACTGCGTTCTGTACGATGCTGGCTCGATTCGTCATGGGTCGCGCGGTCAGGCGACCGCAGAGGGAGCAACGGCTCAGCTCGGTGGTTGATCTCCGTGCGTTTCTTCGTCTTCTCGGAGGAAGCCCACTGTTTCTTCAAAGTATCCAGCTCCGCCTCCGCCCGCTGAAGCTCCTCGCGGAGTTCTAGCACCTTCCGTTCCTGTGACGCAATGGCAGTCAGAAGGCTAGAACCATCGTCCTGATCGTCGAACACGACCGGAGTTCCAGCGGCAGGGAGGGGAGATGGACGGGCGGCCGAGAATGTGGCAGGTGTCATAGACTCAGGGGAAGTGACGCTAGGATCGGATTCAAGACCCGGAACAACGTTGATAGGAAAGTTGAGGGTCAGACGTTTTGCGTGTCGAGCAGCACCGTTCGGTCTGGGGGAACAGACGATCGCTTCTGCTGAAGTTCTTGACGACGTTGTATCACAGACGAAGCCTCAGCTGGCAGTTCCCGCTGACTTTGGAACGATGGCGACATTGTTTGGGACGCTTCCGGCGCTGGTTCCGCGTCGCCCGTTCCCGGGGAGCTCCCCATCTTCGGGGCAGAATAAAGCGTAGAACGTAGCGATTGTACTTAAGGGAGTGAATCGATCATGACAAAAATGAGCGTGAGGATTGGCCTGCCAAATAATAGCGATGGACTGATGATGAAGGAAGCAAAGAAATGAAGCGACGGAAGGAGAGAAGGAAGAAAGATTCGGAGAAATTATGCAGAGAGGTCTAGCCAAACAGCATCACTGGACAGATATGAGGACAGCCTCGTCTCCCCTATCTAAACCAAGCAGTCCACCTTAATTTAACAGTCTAACTGGCTAAGACCAACAGACCGCCTGGCCCAGAATTCCCCGTAGTCTAGTCTAGTCTTTAGTCTGCCGAGTGACGACTCAGGAGGACGTCAGGAAAGCGGCGGGTCTCCCACTGCGCATCCTTTCCGCCTCCAGCCTCGACGGCCGCGTTTCATCCATTCAGGGGCACGATCGCCTCGAGTCTGTGGCTCCAATTGGCAGCTTGACATGTTTAATTAAGTCGCTCGTAATCAAGTCTCACAGCAATAAAACGATGATTCTTCAGGAAGCCTCGTTTGCGGCTTGAAATTGAGGATACTATGCACCGAGCAACCTCCCTCTGAGGTGGAATCTGAGGTTTTAGAAAACGCATCCTGAAGGATTGCTCGACATACAGGTCGATGAATACGTCGGATTATTATTTTTTTTGCAAAAGACTGGCTATATCCACGCCTCAACAAACAAACAACATACAGGAATGAATCACAGTAACTACATTTAATGACCAGCGACACATATATCACAGAGAGAACAGAAGTAAGATGCCCCGCAACGCAGGACACTCGAGGACACAGGGTCTATGACGAAACAGACGTAGAGGTAATCACACAAACAATGCTGGACAGGGGAATTCCGATAGTCACACACGAAGAATTAACCAATTCGCCAGAAAGTAGTCAAAAATGGGAACACCAGGACCAATCCTTATGCAGACCAGGAAAACAGAGAGAACAAGGTCAGCTGCCAAGTAGAAGTCAAGTCCGCAGGCAGATAATCTACCATACATGCTCTGCCACCGCAGCAAAGGACAGAGACGACTCTCGAAATAGTGGGTATCATCGACCAGCAGTTCAACCCATTAGAAAACAAGCCAAGTGAAGAAACGAACGCCCCTAGTGAGAACATTGAGAGCGACAGCTGTATGCCAAAGACACCGAGAAAAATAGCAAACCAGCAAACCGGTAGAGAAGAAGATCAACATATATCGAAGCCGGTGACGCCCCAGAACCTTTTATACAACGAAAGGGAAAGTGATCCAGCAAGGACAGCCAAAGAGTAGATAGATGGAATTAGATTCCAGGCCAGCGGTTACGAAGGCCGTCGGACCAGCGCTGGTAAAGAACATCGGACAATTGCTTGGTGTGTTCCATTCCCGACACCTGCTGGCCCGGAAGGTTAGACAGCTGCGCCGGCGGCCAATTGGAGTCTGGCGCTGCTGCAGACTGACGGCGACGGTGGCTCTTCAGATGTGGATTGTTTTGTGCTAAAACGAGCCGTGGTCTCTGTGGGGATTCGGGTTGTGGAGCTTGCGGGACGAGAGTTGCGAGTTTCGAATCACTGAAAAGGAGGCGAAAGTCAGTCAGTGTCACGCTAGTGACGGACATGCGAATCTGTAATTACCGACCTCTGAAGTTTCTCATTCATAGATTTGAGAATATGGTATAGGCCCTCGGGGTCGACCATCTCCAGGTCGCTCCAGGCCTCCGCCAGTCTTGAGATGGCTTCTCTCTTTTCCTGGTCTGCAGTAGTGCCAAGGACCTCCTGGCAAGCAAGGCCGACAGCCTTGCTATAAGCCCGACGCCCTAGCTGAGCCTCCTTGCTGTTCGAATCCGAATACACTGTCTTAGGGCTTGCGTTCTCATCAACAGCGATCTGGTACTGGTTAATGTATGAAGTGTCGGGCCCGATCTTATCCGACACCCGACGGAACTGGCGAACCGTTGATGGGCTGTTGCCGAAAGTCAGGTCGACGCCCAGGGGCTGCTTCACGCCACTTGATCGTCGCTTGGGCCGTCGCACAGAGGGGCTCCTGTCAGCTGCTGTAGTTCGTCGCACTGTCGAGTTTGATGCATGTTTCGGCGGGACAGGTGGACTGGACATGTGCAGATTGTCCATCAACTCCGAGGCTTCGTCGTAGAAACGGTCTCGTGTATCCCGGTCAGGTACTAGGTCGTGCGAATCCTCTGGTATCGACGTGGGAGGTGCCTTGACAGTGTCGAACACCCATCCGTCGTCATCTTCCAGCCGCGTGATAGTATTACTGCGTGAGTATGATTAGCGGATGTAACGACTCAAAACCCCAGGGCGAGAACTCACAGAGACTCCGCGTAGTATTTGACGTTCTGCCTCGCGCCTTTGCCGGCATCCCAATCTTGCTTCCGTTGGATGAGTTCCTGTAACGCCTCGGTCTTCCCTGCATTGCGAATAAATTTGTGTCTCAAAAGCTCCTTCGCGCTGGGTCTCCGCTCCGGGTCCTTAGTCAAGCATTGCGCGATAAAGTCCTTGAACGCGCTGCTATATTCGTTTCCTTCTAGTCGAGGGGCCGGCTCCTTTGGAATGAGGAAGAGAACCTTCATCGGATGTGTACTCGCATGGGGCGGCTCTCCGTTGATCATCTCGATCGCAGTAATTCCCAGTGACCATATGTCCGCTTTATAATCGTATCCAGCTTGTTGAATTACTTCAGGAGCCATCCAGAAAGGGGTTCCGACAAAGGTATTGCGTTGCGATTTGATGTTGGTAAGCTGGGCCGCGACCCCAAAGTCGGCCAACTTGACCTTTCCTGTGTGGGAGAGCAGCACATTCGCAGCCTTGATGTCGCGGTGAATTTTGCCTTCGCTGTGTAGATATTCCATGCCTTGTAGCAGCTGTTGGCAGATAATAGCAACATGCGCTTCGCTGAAGACACCGGGTTTCAGCTAGGTACTAGTTAGCGATCGCAAAGTCCCAATGACACGCCAATTGATATATTTACCAAGTCGAGACAAGATCCTCCGCCCAGGTATTCCATGACAATCCATAGTTTGTGTCCCCGAAGAAAACTCGCCTTGTACTGCGTCACGTAGGGACTGGCGCATGTGGCCAGGACGGAGATTTCTTGCTGTATTTCTTGAATATCGTCTTCGCTCGATTCGAGATCGATCTATAACCAGTTCCAGACGGTCAATTGAGAAGTGAAAACAAATCATAGACTCTTGAGAGCGTACATGTTTAATCGCGACAATCTCCCCTGTAGATTTTTCAATAGCCTTGTACACAGTCCCAAAACTCCCACCTGCCAACAACAATTCTCTTGTCAGTAACATGCCAATTGCAATTTTTTGGCGGTCGGTAACCACTCACTTCCCAGTTCCTCCATCATCTGATACCGACTGGCCATATCCCCTTCCATGGTTGCGCGATACTACCCAAGTCGTAGCTCAGGGGGTGGCCGGATCCGAGGCTAATACGCAAAACACAACAACGAGCGGAACACACAAGGCACAACTCGTACAGCTCAACCAGCAGTTCTTGCCCCGGCAAGATTCGATGGCTGATCTGGACAAGTCGAGCACGCTCAGAACCCCCAGTGACCGGAAAACAGCTAATCGAGCTGGATGAAAGGGGAGGCAAGTACTGTATCTACCTTGGGATCCATCACATCCAGTGGTCGCTAGCCGCACCTTTTCCATGGTTCGCTGGGCAACGAATGCCGCCCAGCCGCCTAAGGCAGCAAAGTGGAGCTTGCCCGCTTAGGGAAATTCCCCACTGGTAGGGTACATAGCGATTAGATGATAGGTACCTACCTTAGTCCTTAAGGCCGTAAGGTACATTTAAGGCAGCAAGGTACAGAGATCTACAGGGGTTTTCGAATCCTTGATATTCTAGAAGGATGTCAATGACATCAGTCTCGCCGGTTAATGTCATTTAAAATCTATCTACACTTTCAATAATTCGTACTCGCTAGAAACTATTAACGCCATGGAAGCGCTTGATGCCTAAATGTACTTGTAAGGGTTCATGATACCATTCTAGAACATTGTTAGTAACCTCGAAGGATGTGTTAAAATGGACTAGACTTACCGGATCGTACAAGGTCTTCAGCTGCTTCATCAACTTGAGCATGGTGTCATTCTGGCTGTACCCGATGAACTCCTTCTTGGCGAGGCCCAATCCATGCTCGGCGCTGATGCTGCCGTTGCGCTTCTGAATCCACTCATACACCCAAGGCTCAATAGCCTTCTCAACCTCCTTGTTGTACTGCCTGACAGAAATGTTCAAGTGGAGATTTGAGTCGCCCATATGGCCATAGCCAACGACGGCTCGGACCGGGAACGAATCATCATCGCCCACGAATCCCATCTTCGTCAAGCGCTCACGGCAGTCTTCCACAAGCTGGTACAGCTCAGGCAAAGGAATGGAGACGTCATACTTGTAAGTACCGCCCAGGTGGCTCAGAGCTTCCGTAATGCCTTCGCGCCACCGCCAGATAGACTGGAATTGTGTCTCATCTTGGGCCAGAACACCGTCGGCGACGATTCCCTCGCCCATGATATGCTCCAAGAAGCCTTCCAGCTTCTCCATGTCATGCTCTGCATTGGAACCACTGGTTTCGACGAGGCAGTAGAAAGGGTACTCCCCTTCCAGCGGGTACTTTGAGCCAGTCGACTCGTGAACGAGTTTCTGGCTGCGTCCGTCCATCAGCTCAAAGGCGGACAGGATCTCGGAAAGGTGACCCTTAGCCTCCTTGTAAGCCTGGCGAACCTGGTCATAGCTTTCGAGCCCGAAGTAGGCCACATTGACCGCCTTGGGCCGAGGGGGGCACAAGATGGCGACGCCAGTGACGATACCGATAGTACCCTCAGAGCCGATGAACAATTGCTTCAAATCATAGCCTGTATTGTTCTTTCTCAGAGTGGAGAGGGAGTCGACGATAGTACCATCCGCCAGGACCGCTTCAAGGCCAAGCACATTGCCGTGAAGACTGCCGTAACGCAGCAGACGGAGCCCTCCCGCGTTGGTTGCGACGTTTCCTCCGACGTGGCACGAACCCTTTGCACCCAAATCCAAGGGGAACAAGTGGTTGCGTTCTGCGAGGTACTGATCGGCTACCTCGAGGATGACACCCGCATCAACGACCAGCACGCCAGAGGCCTCATCGAAAGAGCGAATCTTGTTCATGCGTGAAGTATTGATGACGATCTCGTCAAACACAGGCACGGAACCTCCCACCAACCCGGTGTTACCCCCTGGGGAACAACAGCCAGCTTCTTCTCATTGCAGTATTTCAAAATCTGGCTAACCTCCTCCTTGTTATGTGGCTTCAGGACGAGCTTTGTGTGGCCGCGGTATTTGCGCATCCAGTCGGCATTGAAGGGTTCGAGATCGTCCGTAGCATCTGTTGTCACACCATCAATCACAGCCGATTGAGCGCCAAGCAGCTCCTTGAAGTACGTGACATCCCGTTCCGTTATCTCGGCGAAATTGGGGTTGCGCTTGAGTTCGGGGTAGGCATTGGTGGTGTACTTGATTTCCCTTGTCGCATTCCCTCCGACAACGGAGCTGACACTGAAAGATCTTGCGGCCAGCACAGAAGCACGGTTGGTGATGACGGGGCGCACCCAACAGCGAGGCTTGGGAACACGAGCCCGCCGGAGGGCAACTGAAAGGTTTCTGGCACTCGACATTGTCTCTGAGACCGACAATGGGAGATTCGAAAAGTTTCAAATCGGCGAGGACCCGGCGATCCAAAAGGCCCACCGTTGGCGTACTGCCTACATCATGGCGAAGGCGGTGACCATCGGAGACTTACCCGCTCTGACGCATGAAACAAGAAGAACATTACTGGACTATCACGTGATTACATATGCTGACAGCTGTAAGAGTGAAGAATCGCATGAAATGAGCCCGTCGAGAACCAGCCATGTAGGCAATTGATGTCAAGCTGGGAAGACTGACTTGTCATGGAGATTACAGATACCTCAGTGGTACTCGTCGTATGCGGTGCACCGTGCACAGGCAGAAATTGTTAAGCTTCTCGGAGCAGTACCATGCAGATAGGCACAGGAGCATGGGTCTTCTGTTATAAACCCACGACAGGGATGTAATTCTTATTGCTATCAAGGTTGAGGCCAAGCTATCCTTTGCAATAAGTCAACCGGTTTGATATCCTATACGATTGGATCATTCCAAGGTATGAGCTTGAGGCGAATTGCTGGCCAGGTCTTACGATTCAGTAGAGCAACCAGATGCTCAGGGATATGCATAGTCTTTCCTATTCTTTTCATAGATCGAGTAATTATACTCTCAACTTTAAGAGCAATTCGTCATTATTGTATCGGGGTCGATCTTTCTGCGCGTCTTCTGGAACAGGACATAATGAGGGTCGTTACGTCATGCGCATAGACACAGCAGACCGGTAACGGCAGAGGGGCCCTCTGGAATTGCTATTTCAATAAGCATCCAGCACCCAATTGCGAATCACACAACTGACTGAACAAAAGTACAATCAAAATGTCGACTACTGTCTTGATTACTGGAGCTACCGGCTTGCTGGGCCGTCAGGTTTTCAATACATTCAAGCATTCTGGCTGCTTTGTTGTCGGTCAGGGCTACTCTAGAGCTACCCCGCCGACGATTCTCAGGGCGGATCTGGAGAAACCGGAGGATATCAAGAGATTGTTGGACGAAGCAAAGTTAGTGCTATTGCGTTGCATTGATGTTCTTCGTTACTACTCATCGGCAATGCCCCGATGTATTCTATTCTTGAGCTGACGACTGATCTTGCAAACCAGACCTCAGATTGTCATCCATTGTATGCGAATAATGAACCGAAAGCACACTCACTGCGTCTGCAATTGATACTGACCCCTCTGTTTAGGCGCCGCGAACCGGTCTCCCGATCTGTGTGACAAGAATCCCGAGCAAGCTCGTCGGGTCAATGTCGATGCCACCCGTACCCTCGCAGAAGAGACCTCTTCCCGGAAAGCGTTGCTGGTCTACATCTCAACCGATTATGTCTTCTCCGGAAAGGAGGGGGAGGCTCCTTACGAGGTCGATGCAGAGCCCTTCCCGACGAATTACTACGGTCAGCTCAAGCGAGACGGCGAAATCGCAGTGCTAGAAGCCACAAAGGATACCGGGTTAGGGATTGTTCTCCGTGTGCCTGTGCTGTATGGTACTGCTCAGAGTAACTCCGAAAGCGCCGTGAATACTCTGATCGATGCGGTCTGGAAGGCTCAGGATGAGAACGCCGGTATCAAGATGGACGACTGGGCGCAGCGCTACCCGACAAACACCGAGGATGTAGCTCGTGTGTGCCGTGACGTTGTCATCAAGTATCTCAAGGAACGGTCACGGATTCCTGAACTCCCCAAGATCCTGCATTTCTCGTCCGAAGATCGAATGACCAAGTACGAAATCTGCGAGAAACTTGCGGAGGTACTGGGTCTTTCCCTGGTAGGGATGGTCAGGAACAAGCAAGGAAACGATCCAAACGCATCTGTACAGAGGCCTTATGATACTCATCTCTCAACCAAGGTGCTAAAGGATTTGGGCATTGATGTTCAGACGACTGACTTTGTCGCATGGTGGTAAGTACCTCTGTATGTGGCCTCTCAGACCATGGCTAGAACTAATTCTGGATTGTAGGCGGAAGCACCTGGGAGCATACAGGAAATGATTGATCTGTCCCGAGGACAAGGAGACATGACGGGATCCCACGATTAATATGAGATGATTAATAAGGATTTTGCTAGAAAATAAAGACTATATTGCAACGAAGTAATGATGGGCATCGTCGCAAGGCACAGTAGATAGATCCCCCGCCCTATGCAAAGACGGACGCAGGGGCAGAATGACCGATGCAGGAACCCAGCCGGGGCTGTACGACACGGAGTCAAATGAACAACCAGAGACTCGAACCAACCTCTGAATTGAATCCAGGGATCGATCCAATTCAACTACACTTGAGCGAACTGAAATAGCAGGATGTGTCTTCTGTCACTATGTCAATCACCCGATTGTGGGTATGCCGATCCGCATCGCATCCTCTCAGATCCTTGCCATACGGCCTTGTGAGGCTGCGAGTCAGGTACCAGGACGATCTCCGATTAGTAGTACGTAGTTCCATCTCATAGACACTAGATTTAGATTTGGATATTCTCCGTAGATTGAGTTCAAAACAATAATTGAGAATAATAATGCTGCCAAGATGATGACGCCGGATCTTACATCAATAGTGCCTGATTCGTTCCTCCCAGCCACTCGCCGTCTTTTTCTCTCTGCTGTGCCCGGGAATTCTTTCCCACTTGAATCAGGATTTCTGCATATAGTATAGATAGTCATGCCCCTCGATGAACGCATCTCTTTTGGAGTTAAAGTCGCAGTATCTGTCTATACTCTCCTTCATTGATGAAAGTGAAGTGACGCCAAGCGACTGGTCGCAGTAATTCAACTGTCAGGAACTAACTTATATTAATTAATCTCCGCTCCCAAAAGAGAGAGCGTCGGACCCTCCGCAATCCTGGGCATCGGAGTCTCGTGCTCTATCCTATCTACGGTGTACTCCGTATCTAGACGGTGATAAAATATTATTGTCACGCTGATTCGCTTCGAGCCCTCTTCGTCTATTTTAGGGCTTCTAGGACTTGAGTTGACAGGACAGGGAATGCCTGAGCATTTGTGAAACATCTCTACAGCATCCAAGGGGTTTGTTGTGCCGGAGTTATTTTCGGTTTCGCCTCATTTTCCCCCCTCTCATTCCTCATTTTTCCTTCCCTCGCTTCCTCCCTTCGACATCTTCCCAACCAATTCGATATTATTCTCCTTACTTTTGCCTGGCTTCGGAACTCAACCTACGGCCTTCAGCACTTCTGATACCATTGAGAACGAACACAGTTCTGAGCCTGTCCATTGGGGAGATCGACTGTCCTGGCCACTTGGTCACACTCTCAATACAAGCGCGTCGATGCCAAACAATGCAATTCGCACCTACAAGACGATCCGTGTAAGAAACGTGCCTTAGAAAGCCCATCGCCATGGCGATGGAACCACAGACCACCAGCATGCAGGCTGGCCACGACCAGGGCTCATTGAAGTTCTCCCGCTATCGATCCGTCCGACGAGCAGCCACACAGAAGCAGCCCAAGCAGCTGCATACCTCGATCCCTTCTGTTCCCAGCCCCCCGAGCGCTCCTGCGACTGGACTCCACCATGGGACGACACCTACGGCGGATTCAATCAACCGAAGCATGTCCCGATACCGACGCCAGCGCGCTCCGACAGCCCCTGCCATGACGGTGCAGCCTGCGGCCCCAGCCCTTCCGACGCATAAAACGCAATTGAACGGCCACAACCCGCTGCGCATTCCCGAGGATCAGACCGTTGCAGTGACAGCAGCGCACGTACCAGCGATGGCTCGAAGCATGACGGAACCTACGAAAACCACAACGAACCCGTTCGGCGATGACGCCGCGGCCACTGAGGACTCGGAAGCCGAGCGCGAGAGACACAGGCAGGAGGCGATGGCTCGCTTAACAGGGGAAACTACAAGGCCCGCGCGAGCTGTTTCGGATCATCGGAGAGTGACTCCCCGGACCGCAGAGGGTCGGCGCAGGCACGATGACGTGCAGGAGGGTTCGCGGCGGCATCACAGGTCGGACGAAACCTCTGAGCCGAAGCGTCGATCTTTCAAGGAGAAAATGAAGCTTGCTAAACCCAAGGACATGTCGAGCACAGAGTCGTCCGCCGTCAAGCCCCCAGAGCCTCCTGCAGGAAATCACTTTACTGGGGTGGATGCGCCTGTTTCTGCGGTGAATTCAGGGAAGCGCAGCGTTCTGATCCAATATGGGAGGATGTCGGCCAAGATGCCCGTCATGCCGTCAACACGGGTTCAAGATCTGCTAGTTGCTGCCTCGGAGTGTCTGACAAGTGAGATCCATCCCCCCAAGTTCATTTTGATGGAGTCGTTTGGTCAGCTGGGGCTGGAGCGGCCCTTGCGCAGATACGAATGTGTGAGGGATATCATGAACTCGTGGGCGTATGATGGAGAGAACGCATTGATTATTGTTCCTGCGGCAAGCATCGAGTCTTTGCGCCCGCTTGAAGCGCAGAATATACCGATCGCGCCGCCCGCGGATGTAACAGTGCACATCTACTACTCACAACGGCCCCGTAAGTGGGACAAGCGCTTTGTCACCCTTCGTTCGGATGGGCAGGTCACTGTTTCTAAGAAGGAACATGGCAAGGACCAAACAAATGCCTGTCATCTTTCCGATTTTGATATCTATTCTCCCACGCCGGATTTTCTGAGAAAGAACGTTGATCCACCAAAGAAGATCTGTCAGGCAATCAAGAGTCAGCAAAAGTCGAGCATGTTCCTATCGACGGAGAATTTTGTCCACTTCTTCTCCACCAATGACAGGACAGTCGCCGAGCAGTGGCATCAAGCAGTGCAAACATGGCGCAGCTGGTATCTCGTTCATAAAAAAGGCGCAGCCCAGAGTGAAGATGACGAGGAGGCCAAAAGCCTCCACCAGCAGAGGATTGGCTCTTCTCATTCCAAGTCGAGTCAGCCACCTCAGTTCAAACCCCTGGTGGACCTGGATTCTGTTGCAGAGCAAGAGCGAGCGCCATCACAGCATTCTTCGCCTGATGGCCAGCACAAATCAAGCAAGACCAAAGATATCTTCTCGCGACCGAGACGCTCGCGCGAGCGTGGACCGCCACCATCGTCTTTCCCGAAATCCCTGGCGGAACCGGACACTGCCATGCAGCCTA